TCAGTGAATTCTTTCGAAGTAAACCTGATTTGCCATGGTTTGGCAATAATTTCATTTTCTCTTTTATATAGTCTCTGTAATTATAAATTGTTACAGTTCTGATTTCAAGAACAGGTTGTGAGCTGCTAAATAGCTTAATTCACTTGCTTTAGTTTGAACAAAGTTAAAATTATTTCTTATTCATTGTGTTTACTACGTTTAATGAGCCATATAGTTCAAATTGTGTGAGGACATGTATTACTCTTAAATCATTGACTTACTTAAACTGTACCACTGAAAAAATTAAAATACAAATAACTCAGCCCTTTAGTAGACTCACAGAACAGGTATAACTGCATTCACTGTATTAGCACCATTGCAACCAAGATCAAGTAAAGTACCTGACCATGGGTCCTAATCCCAAGTGCAGATGCCTGTAAATTCTTAATCTACATGACTTCATATGATAGATAAGTAGATGCAATCAAACACAAAATTACTGTCAACTCCTACTCAGCCATAGGCATTCTTGGCAACTACAAATAGAGCCTCATCTATAAAGGACTGTTGTCTTAAGATAGAGATTCAGCTGAATTTAAACACAAAAGCCTGAAAGATATAGAAAATTCAGTGCAGTCTGCTTGCTTTGGTATGTATCAGCATTCTGGAGCCTTGAAATGCTGTGTGAGGTTGTAGACTATGCAAATGAATAGAAGTTTCATTCTGTCAAGTAAGATTTTGCAATCAGACAATTTTTGGAGGCATAACCATAAGAGGTTGATGTGGATGCCAACATGCAAGATGCTAGTTGTTTCAAATTCTAGATCCAAATCTTGTCCCTTTAGGACGAGTTAAATTAAAGCAAGTACTCCAGTTCTCCTCTTCATGGATTCGCATCCAAATTCCATATATTGAGTCTGTCTATAACTAGAAATGTGTATGTTCTTTGTAAGGACATATATCTGATGTGAAATCTGATAGAAACTAGAAGACACACTTCCTCTTTTCCTTAATAACTAAAGAAAAGCAGTAAACATGAATTAGCCTGATTTAAAAACCTGCAGAAATTTAAAACCATTTTTAAACTGTTAGTTGTAGATTTTACTTAATAAGAGATGCTGGTACATTGATTAGAGGCTTCAGCACTTTAGCTATTTCAATAATCAAAACTGCATGAATCCTTATGAAATATTTATGTAGTCATGATAATTCTTCTTACTAAGTATGTAACAAGGAAGTTACCTTGATTTATGCTGTCCAGCCATCTTTTCTTTATGCTAAAGACAAAGGAATTTAATAATTTCATACAGTAGAGAAATCATCGTGAATATGTACAACTGATTGAGTATTACAGTCATGACTCTAGCACTACCCTTGCTGTTAAATTTCATTTTAGGCTTATGTAGTTTATCTTAAAGCTCTTGTCTTTTCTAGAACTTCTTATTTCAACATTTCTTTTTGTCCCACATGAGAAGAAAAACTGAACCCTTTACAGAACAGAAATCCTTAATTGTTTCTGTTTGGAAGTATAAAAGGTTTTAATTTTAATGTTTTATATCAAATGAAAATATTTTGTTTTCGTTCATTTAGCTGATGTGAAGTACATTGATTGAAGTCATTACAACATAAAATTGTATTTTCCCATAGGGATATCTCATAGTAACTGTGGCATAGAAAGGAAATTATTTCTTCACAGTAAATCAAGCTCCCTGTCTGGATTGTATTGCTGTCAGACTGACCATACAGAATCTGCACCTTGACAGGTATAATTCTCAAGGAAATCAGGCCAGCTGGAGCAGAGTAGGAACTGAAAGTTAAACTTCCTTTACCTAAGAAAAGTAAAAGTCTGTTTAAAATTCTATTGAGCAATTCGAAGTCAAATATTTCATGTCAATTCAAAATCATTCCATTTCTCAAAGGAATACAGAATACTTGCAGTAATAGAAAAATGTCAGTCAGAAAGAATTCAGTAGTTCAGAAATCATTTACCACTAGGACAGCATTTTCAGCAGAGAATTCCTAAATGGTTGCTAGATACAACTTCTGCATGGGGCAATAGCACTTGCTGCATCTATGCAATCTGTCATTTCATGTGGTTATGAATGCTTAATAACATTGGCATGAAAATTTAATCATCTCTTCAGATTTAAGTGGCAGAAAAAGAATGTAAATGCTGAGAATAATTACCATATTGTAATTAGTTTAATAGTTTGATCTGACAGGATACGGACCGATTGACAGATATTCAGCAAATGGCCCTGTATTTGTTTTACCAGCTATTGTTTGAGCAAAACTTTATAATGGATTTCATATCCTCAATTATTTTCAATATAACTGTTGCAAGCCTCCAGTATAATTCAGGATGATTATTACATTTAATGCTTTAATCTAAATAGCAAACCTAGAGTATTTGTAACATTTTGTAACTGTTTGGCAAGCTTAGACTTATGAATTTTTAATTTGAAAAGCTTTGTTAACCAAACTCTTCTGGTCTAAAATAAGTATTAGACTTTTGTTTTACATGAAGTTCTCTGGATAGATCTCACTTGAAATAATGTTTTAGACATCCCTTCAATTCCTGCAAGTCAGATATCCTCTGGAGGCAGCTGTTACATGTTCTCAAATTCCATTAATATTGTGTTTGTAGTTCGGGATTAAACTGTAGCGATTGCAAAACTCTTAAACCAACAATAATAGATTATTGAAGAAGTGGACATACCAAAATAAAGGGGTTCAAACAAGGCAGCAGCAACTCTAGGTGTGAAGAGCGTTAGCTCGATACCCACACAAACTCTTACTTTTTGTGGTGTACTTCTTGTGATGCATGGTTCACTGGGAACTTGGAAGGACAGAGAGAGAAGCATGCTGTGTTCTGGAGACGCTTGCCGAGTGCAGGCTGGTTGAAGAGGCTGAACTGAAACACTGGCAAAATTTCAAACAGTTATTTGCCAGTGCTAACTCATTATAGAGGACAAGGCAGAGTGAGTAGGATCTACAATGATTTTGAGGAGCGTGACAGGCAATTGTGGAAGTAGAAGTGCTGGCCATGCAGTGAGTCTATATTGCAACTCAACAGCTAATGAGATTGTTTTGTGCTATTTCTTTCTTGTAGAAATGTTCTTGTTTAATTTATCAAGAAGTTATTGTGCTGGTAACTTACTCCAACTTAAAAAAAATATGTTACGTTGTACTCTTGAGTTTCATTTTTTGTTTATAGAGCACTGTCCCACTGAAATGGACACAGTATCTAGGAAGGATAGAAGGAATACATCTCACTGAACTTGTGAGTTGCCTTGGCATTTACACTGCAGTTACTTAAGGTTTCCTTTACACCAATGGAGAAAAACACAATTTTTGTGTCTAGTCCATTTGTTGTGTGTTAAGATACATATTTTGCAAGTCAGATTGTACTCAGCAAATCTGTATTTACTTTCACAGCCTGTGAAGAGAATATAGAAAACTGGCTGAGATAAATGTCATGTAAAGCTATTGGAACAATTGGGGTGGGAAGACTTCTGTCACTGAACTTACATCCTTGATTTATTTCCCTTCTGTCTAGATATTCATTGTATACAATTCCACCAGCGTAGTATTTTAGCTCTTAAAAGGTTAGGGTAATTTATGCAGATAACATTCTTTAAAATAAGTGTTCAGAGAAGAACAGAGGCATAGACTGACAGAGAAGTTGGAGATGTCTGGTTCTCAGATCCGTAGCAAAGGCATGTGCTGGAACTCCAAATTGCCCTCTTGTTCCTTAACAGCCTCACATGCAAGACAGAACTTCATCTGTTTTCTTACAGTCATTGAGATACTACATGATAAATAATACATCACAGCAGCAGCAGAGTGTAAAACTGGCTAGATTATCCCTTACAGTTAGAGAGCTCCCTAGAGGCTTTTAGTGTCTTCAGTATATAAGTAACCAACAGAAGCCCGCAGAGCTTAGCCTGCATATGTATGCAGACTTGGCCTGATTTATGTGATTAAAAAAACCTTCTGCCATAACATTTTCTCTGTTGAAAAAGATCCTAAATATATAGCAGAGAATTATATGGTTTCTACAGGATATTTGCTCCTGTGACGTAAGAAATACTGGACCTGACAAACTTTAAAAAGGAGTAGCCCATTTCTGAAGCCCACTGGATACTTTTTCTTACAGCTTGCTTTGGTTGTTGCTATCCAGTTACTTACTCTATGGGAGCTCATTCCATGCATACACTACATCTGTTCCTGCGCAGGGCTCACTGCCTGTAGACTGGCTGTGGCAGCCCATTTTGCCACCTATTTTACTCTCTTTGCACTTTGGACAGGAACCAAGCTGCTAGGTATCTTTGGGTATGTATGAGGACACGGTGCAGTTAGATTCATGCAGTAGGTCTGGTTTTGTGGTGGAAGAGGGACCATGTTGTACTCCATATTTGCTAAACAGTCCTTGGCTTCTCATAACCAGAACAGGCTTTGTGAATAAGAGGTGTGTGGAAGGAAGCAGATAAGTTTTCATCATACTGCCTTAACATGAGCAGGAAAAGTGAAAATTAGGCCTGGGCATTTCCCACTGTTCAGCTACAGATCCCGCGATTCTTGTGAAGAACACAAGGGACATTACTTCTCCCATGTTTTCCCTGTTTTGGCTGTTCCCTCCACTACTTCTACCTATATGGTGGAATAAGAATTCCAAAACATGAGGAAAGTTTTATTCCACAGATTTCTAATAAGGAACAGAGGATTCAAGGATGAAGTGCAGGAAACCCCATATTATACAGGGTTTCTGGCAGCTTTTGGTTGTAAAAGCTTTTATTTGGTAGTTTTATCAGCTGTAGAGTCATTTTTTTATTACAAAGATGAATTATGTGGTTTTCCACTATAATCTCTGCTCAGTTTTGTGTGGCAGGACACAATTTGTATCTGCTGACACTGCTTTGACTTGTGCCATGTTTGAATATTTGTATATTTGTTTATTTATTTTTAACTTCCTTGTGCTCAGAGGATAAATTCTTCCTGTTTTGTTTTTCCTTTCACAGCTTTTGAAGGAAATTATTGGCCTCACTTTTTTCTCCAAAACCAGAAAGAATCTCTGCAAAGAAGTAAGTGTCTGACGTGGTGTTTAACGTTCATATTGCAACTCAATTCAGCATCAGTTCTGTATTGCAGAAGATGCTGTAAAAAGCACATAATAAAAATACGTCCTTGCCTCAAGGAGCATATGTTTTAAAGCATTAGTTTTAGAAATCCCAAATGAAGAGTTTGCTTATAAAGGACAGTAAAATAAGTTGTCTCGCTCTGGTAAGTTTTATGCTGAATGGAAGGTGCTTTAGTGTGCCATGCTGAGGTTTTGATGCCGAAGGATAGAAACTGTGAAGCAGTTTAGTAGCCTTCCACATTTAGAAATTTGCTACTGAGGTAATTGGTGTGATCTGCTTGGTTTTCATTCCTGCACTTAGGTTAACATTCTCTAAGAATTTAGGAAATGGATTCTTTTGATGCTGCAAAATCCAGCAAATGAAATAAAGCTGATTAGAGACTAGGCCTATGAGATTATTTTAAAGATTGCAGGTTAAAACAAATTTATGTGTAAGTGAAAGATCAAAATACAGGATAGTTGTTCCTCACCTTTATAGCCAGCAGCCAGTGTGGAGTCAGGGTTTGGACAGATCTTCAACATCCAGCTGTGCCAGCTGAAGCTATATTTGCTGCAGTTCTGGTAGTTTCCCAGTTTTCCTTTAGCTCCTAAGAATGGCCTGTGTGCATGAACCCATATCTGTAAGGAAAATTAACTCCAGCCGCCTACTTACTGCAGATTTGAGCTAGTCCTTCTGAATCTAAGAAATACAAAATATAGTAAGATACCACTATCAAATAAAAATGTGTACCATGCCAAAGCATAATTAATGTATTATAGCTTTAAAGTAGTAAAAATTATAGCTATCAGAAGTACTGTTAGGAAAGTAGGTATCACTAAAATGTTAACTCACAATTAAAATGGTAACATTTGACAGCAGTGATTGTGGTATTTTCTGTTACAAAGAAATTTTGCTTTGATTCAAGAGGAGGCTGGACAAGTACTTGGAAGTCAGAGCACAAGGGGGATAAGCAGGAAAATCCCAGTAGCCTCACAAAATGCCCAGAATTGAAAATAATTGTAGATCGAAGAGTATCTGCAGAAGCATGCATGCTTGACCTGATGGTACTCTTCCCTTCAGCAGTGTCCTAATGATCACTGCTGGAAATAAAATAAGCAAGCTACATCAACACTTGGTCAGAACTAATACAACTTTTCACATGTTCTTGTCTGAAGAAATGTGAGGCACTGACTTTTCAATTTAAATTTAGTTCATTAAACATGTAGTTTTCCACATCCATGACAAGAATGAACAAATGTCATCAGGATAACATATGTACAGGGTGTGCTGTTCCTCTACTAGATCTTTTCTAAAATAAATGTGTATATCAGTCCTAGTATTCTGCACATTATCTTATTCTATTTACAGACATTCTTCCTAGTATTCCATAATCTTAATATTTTATGTTAAAATACTGTGCTTTACTGTTGCCTACTGTTAAAAAGCAACTCTGTACTGCAAAAGTTGCTGCATTTCAGTGGTTGATAGTGAAACTGTTAATCTAGTTTAGGGAAAATGCAGAGATCTAGAACAAAAGAATTCTATCAAATGCAAATTTATTATAATGAGAAGCAGAGAGTGGCTTGAATTAAGTGAATTCTCATTCAGCATATGCATGGAAAAGCTACATGAAGTTCATCCTAGAGGTAAAAATAGTTGAACTTGTGCCCAGACAAAAAATATAATAAAACCGAGCAAGTCATCTCTGTCTTCTTTCTGTTCTTACAACAAGAACAGTAAGACATGGATATACACAAAGTAAAGGAAAATCTAGATATCATTTAATGAAACTGAACTCAAAAGACAAGTATAGAGTCTAGTGTTAAATATCTTGAGTTATTGACATTCCTGTCATAATTTTCTATGATAATATTTAAATAAAAACAAATACACTGAAAGCACACCTACATTTATCGAAAGGGGCTCCTATTGCACTCTGACCATTGTGCAGCCCCAGGTAACCATTTCTTGGCACACTCTGAAAAAGCTGGGATTTGCTGGTTAGTATCACTTCAGCACAGTATATTACACTAGCTAGAGCTGGGCATGAAGAATCAGTAACAATTAGCCAATTCCTATTTTCCAGTCAGACGTTCTGGACAGCACAGAAGTATGGAAGAGGAGTACTTTTTGCCAACAGGTAACAGCTCACTGGGAAACAGTATTTTCTACTTGATCTGAATAAAACCAATACCATTCTGTAGCCATTTGATCGCTCTTTGAGAGAGCAGAGAATAAAAATTGCAGGTAAACTTTGCAAAATTTTCCTGATACTTCATGCTTCTGAGATATATCTGAAGATACCTGAGCTTCAAATAACTCTAAAAGCAAAAATAATTAAAAAATGAAAAGTAACTAACTGAGTCTGGAAATACATAACCAAGGACATATTACTGACTTCAGTAATTCTGTCATTTTCAGAGGGACAGTTCAAATGCTTTAAGTAGGTATAGAAATACCTAACATTAAGTGCTAGACTTATTTTTTTTTAATGATTTATTTCAACCTCCTAAAATCTGTCCATTTAGATGAAAAGTGATTACTTTTTAAAAATGAAAACTGAGCAAAACATTCCTTATATTTACAAAGCTGGCTGGAACTTTTTCACAGAAACAGACCCAAAATAGTGGAGACTTACAAGCTGGGCTTTGAAGACTGTTTTCTGACATCTAATGATCTGACTGTACAATGAATCATGATACAGTAATGCCATATATAGCTTTGCAAATGTTCCTGAAATGTTAGTTTTTTCCAGTAGCAAGCTGTCACCTCTGCAAACAGATTGTGCAGACTGAAGTAAGAAGATAAACAGTTATATATTCCATGAAGGAGATGGAAGTGTGTTTCCCAAGCTAGGAGGTCTTCTCCATTTACAGTAAATAAGAATATTGCTCTGACTCCCACTACTGTTTCACTTCCTGATTTGAGATAAAATTTTGAGGTTCTAAAAAAAAGTCTAGGATTTTGCTTAGATAATTAATCTGAGTATAATCTTATATAATCAATCTGAGTATAAATAGCTTTTCTTGCTATTTATAACTGCAATAGCAATCAGAATGAGCAAATATGCTGTTAGGAGACCTAAATCCTCTTTTCTCTTTCACTTTTATAGTTCTGAGCAAGGATTCCTGTTCTACCTGGGGCGGAGGGCATTTTTCCACCTTTGATAAATACCAGTATGACTTCACTGGCACCTGCAACTATATCTTTGCAACTGTATGTGATGAAGCCAGCCCTGACTTCAACATACAGTTCCGCCGTGGGCTGGACAAAAAAATTGCAAGGATCATTATTGAGCTGGGACCTTCTGTTGTCATTGTTGAGAAAGGCAGCATTTCTGTCAGGAATGTTGGGTAAGATTCTGCAATTAATGGGAAAAAAACCCCATATTTAAAGACAGCAGAGGGTTATATATATAGCAGTCACACTGAAGACTACTTTGTATCAAAAATGAATCAACAAATTACAGAAGTTAGTACACCTAGTCTTATTTCTTCCTTTCAAGCATTCACATTCTATAGATGAGTATTTCATTTGCAGGTACTTGAATCAGGCTTATTTTCTGTAGTTAAAGGGATAAACTAATAACCTTCCCAAATCAAAACAGTTCTAACATTGAAACTAGTCTCATATGTACTGCCAGTTTGCATATGCATATGCCTCTACTACAAGAACAGCTTATACCCTTTAGTAGATACTAGTTGAGATTCCTGTGTTTTGCTTAGAGTTCATTTGTTTTGAGACTTAGATAACTCTGAACCCTCTATGCTAAAGAGACACATAAATAGGTTATAAGAAAAACTTTGAACTGTACAAACAATAGAGACATATCAGAAGAGCTCACAAAAAGGTCCCTGTGGATTAGACCACTGTCTGTATACATTATTCCAAGGATTACTGTGTCCAGAGAGCAGCTGTTTTACTGTGGAATTACACTGATGGGAAACTTTGGGTTCTGCATCATTCATTCTTCTAGACAAAATGCTCCCATAGAAGGAAATGTTTCATTGGAAGTTTTCAGCATTTTTATCAGATAGGCTTGAATTTTTGTCTGCGAGTATACGTGGGTACAGGAAATACTTGAGTGTGGATTGTCTGTATCTTCTTATACTTACCTGGGTATAATAACCATACTGACAAAAAGAGATCTTGAAGCTATACCTTATTTTAGCAAATTGTATTTATTAAAAAAAACTTTCTTTATCAGTTAATGTCCCAGGAAAATTATATAAAACTGTGGACCTAACCAAATGATCTGCATTTTAAGTTTTTATCCTACATTCACAAGAACCAAAGGCTTTGGCTGACCTGGCTTAGTGTTGCACATAGCCCTTCTTCAGGTAGAAGTCTGGCCTGGGCAACTTCAGAAGGTCCTTTCCAACCAACTTTTCTATGATTATATCACATGCTTACTGACTATTTAGCAAAATATACTTTGTCTTTAATGTTGTTAGTTTGTAGCACTAGAATTCAGCTGCAAGGATGAAAACCTAATTTGCTGCAACATTCCCATAATGTGTTTCTCTAACCTTGTCAGGTTTCAGTTACAGCAATAGTTCCTATATTAACAGCCTGTAAGCTTTTCAGGGTAATCAAAATAATACTACCACACAAACTGTACTGTTACAAGTTCTTGAAACATATACCTTACCTATACGTTAATAAAACCAAACCAAGTGAAGATGCCAAGTTCTGTGCAAACATTTTCACTAGTATACTGACTATGCAACTGTCTCCTTGAGATTCTTCTATGAAACTGTTGACACTGATTTTTCAGTCAAGAGAAATTTTAATGTATCTTGAAATGCTACAATTACAAAGGAAAAAGATCTATTTTATGTTGCTGCAAGTACTCAGATTATATATGTATTAGATCCAGAAAAGATAACTAATACCTGCTTAATAATGGTATGAGATGGTCAGTTTCTCTTCTTGCATTATTACAGTGTCATTAAGTTGCCTTACACCAGCAATGGAATTCAAATAGCACCTTATGGACGCAGCATTCGTCTGGTGGCCAGACTGATGGAGATGGAGCTAGTTGTCATGTGGAACAATGATGACTATCTCATGGTTAGTAAAATGTTCTCATAAAGCAGAAGAGAAAATGCTCACTGATTTACTGGAATGAGAAGATGTCTTTAAACTTAATGGGTGCTTTTTGCATGTGTTTACTATTTGGATATTTATTCTTTTCCTGTGTCATCCATTCACCTTGAAAAAAACATCTTGGCTTTTTATATCTGCATGTTCCTTTAACTTCCAGCTTTGGTATGTAACTAAAGCCACCAATGTTGAGATTTGTGGGTGCTTTCGCAAATTTTAAACTTTCCTCAAGCTATTCCAGCAGCTACAGTGTTTTGCTAAAGGGCTGTTGAAATTATTTAAAGTTGTTTAGAATTTCTTTATGCATAGTGTATGTCTTAATCTTGTCGTTTCTACTGTGCTTCCCCCCCACGTCTTTTTTTTTTTTTTTCAAACATATGGTGCTTTTACCAGCTCTTTTTTTTTTTTTCTTCTTTTTCTAAATCTTGTCATGTTTTCCCTCCAAAATGACTGATATATTTTAGAGAAGTGGATACATTTCCTCAGTGTGAGAAATCACAAAGTCTCCCTGCCACAAAAGACACTGAATTCTATGCTAAAATGGAGAGATTGTTGTGTGAGAGGTTGTATGGGAGATTTATCAACATTGCTATCACACATGTAACAGGAAATGCTACTGTAATCGGTATGCACTATATCCTACCTACAATCAAATTATTTCCTCTGATGTAAGGTTTTTATAAAATTACATTGATTGTAGCCAGTAGTAGAATAACCACTTTATTCTCTAGAGCAGTAAATAATTGAATAACCTTCTGAAACCAGTTATTCTTTCTATAACTTTCAACTTCTTAAGACAGTGAACCTGAAATTCATGCTCTATCAACAAAGATATGAGCAAGGAAACAGCATCATTTCCTTTTCTATTTTTTCTGGTTCCTTAGAATATCTTTCCCTTCAAATCTCTGCAAATGTCTTTTATTCTTTTCCTAAATTAAAAAAATCACAACAATCACTACTTGCCTATTTGGTAAAAGAAGTTACTGCTTCCAAAATGTTTCTTCTAGCCAAGTCACTGAAATTAATGAGAAGTATCACCTTTAATTGGATCCTTGAACTGAATGTGTTTGAGAAAAGTAATGCTTTATAGATAATTTTTAGTTAGGGTGATCCTTTTAAATATGTTGCTTTGCTTTTTTTTAGGTTTTGACTGAAAAAAAATATATGGGGAAAACCTGTGGAATGTGTGGAAATTATGATGGTTATGAATTGAATGAATTTGTGAGTGAAGGTAAACTCTAAGGACATAGTGCATGGAAGGAGAGATAGTTAAACTGAGTCAAGGTGGAAGCTGAATACTGTAGTAACTTTTCTCTAACTGCTCACTCAAGTTTTTCAGAATTGAGTAAAGCACACCTATATGTCACCAACATACTTGTCATTTGATTATGCTACACAGTATAATTTAGTATGATGATATTATTGTGGGTTCCTCAGACAAGTGGTAAGAAATCTTATATTTCAGAAAACTGTGATAAGGACTACTCTCTCCCCTAACTTTCAGAGCAGTCTAGTTGTATAGCAAGCCACAGTAAGTGAAATAATTACATTAGGCAGAAGTAAGAATCAGGCTACAATAAAAAAAACATAGTGGACAAGAACATTAACAAGTAGCATTTCCCAGTAAGGATGGATCTTTAGAACAAAATAGTTGGTGCAAGGACTTGACATCAGCATTCTATGTAGTTTGGGGGGTTCACTTCACAGTCACTCTAATCTGCTGAACTAATGCCCATTATCACTGGGAGATCATTACACATGCTCTTGGAGCACATCTTCTGCTTTATTTTTCATGTTAAAGGAACTCAACAATGGAAATAAAATTACACGAAGTGGGAATGTTCAGAAGATTAACTTTAAAAGCACACTGCTACTCGGAACTCCAGTGCCAGTGTAGGGGCATTAAACTGCACAGTAGACTAATCTCAGATCTACACTGCCAGATGCAGTTTTCTAGTGTCCTGGGTTTAGCAGTAGCAGTCATTTTTCTCCTTGGCAGCTGGTGCAGTGCTCTGTTTTGACTTTCGGACTGGGAACAGAGCTGATAACAATGATGTTTTCGTTTGGCCAAGGACTTTGTGAGCCTCATGCTCTGCCAGGGAGGAGGGGAAGCTGGGAGTAAGCAGAGACAGGACACCTGACACATCACAGAATTCTAAAAAGTATACAGTATTTTTGGGGTTGTGATGAGTTTAGCCCTACATGTAATAGAAGATATTAGAATGGGGATGAGGAGAAGAGGCATTAATTAACAGCTGGTGAAAGATAACACAGCTGGCAGGAAAACAGTACCAGCTGGCATCATGTAAGTTAGTAGATATGATGTAGAATCATAGAATAGTTAGGGTTGGAAAGGACCTTAAGATCATCAAGTTCATCCCCCCCCTGCCATGGGCAGGGACACCTCGCTGTATACCGTATCACCCAAGGCCTCGTCCAACCTGGCCTTGAACACTGCCAGGGATGGAGCATTCACAACCTCCTTGGGCAACCTATTCCAGTGCCTCACCACCCTAACAGGAAAGAATTTCCTCCTTATATCCAATCTAAACTTCCCCTGTTTAACTTTTAACCCATTACCCCTTGTCCTGTCACTACAGTCCCTAATGAAGAGTCCATCCCCAGCATCCCTGTATGCCCCCTTCAGATACTGGAAAGCTGCTATGAGGTCTCCACACAGCCTTCTCTTCTCCAGGCTGAACAGCCCCAACTTTCTCAGCCTATCTTCATACGGGAGGTGCTCCAGTCCCCTGATTATCATTATGGCCCTCCTCTGGACTTGTTCCAACAGATCCATGTCCTTTTTATGTTGAGGACACCAGAACTGTGCACAGTACTCCAAGTGAGGTCTCAGGAGAGCAGAATAAAGGGGCAGGATCACCTCCTTCGACCTGCTGGTCACACTCCTTTTGATGCAGCCCAGGATATGGTTGACTTTCTGGGCTGCAAGCGTTCACTGCCAGCTCATGTTCATTTTCTCATCTGGCTCAGAGAAACCATCAAGGTGATAAAAAAGTATGCTTTACTCAATAGACTCCGTTTAAAGGGCAAAACAGGTAGTTATTTATCAGGTAGACTAATCAGTAGGATATTTCATAGTCAAAGAGTAGAATCTGAGTTTTGCTACATCACAGCAATAAACAAATAATGTCCATGTGGGCTTTTGCCTGACAAAATACAAATGTTCAATTTACAGGTAAATTGCTGGATACATATAAATTTGCTGCATTACAAAAAATGGATGATCCATCGGAGATCTGCCTGTCTGAGGAGATATCAATTTCCCCTGTTCCTCACAAAAAATATGTAAGAAAGATCTTCTTTGATTTTCTACAGCATGATTCTTAACAGAGGTAGAAAGACAGAAACCAGTAATGGAGAGGCAGTGATTTCGTAAAACTGACTTCCATGAAAATGGGTAATGTCAAAATTTGTATAGAATGACATAAGAAAGGAGTTCTTCTTCTAAAATACATTTTGAAAAAAGTCCTTGGGCATTTTTGAGGCTGCATTTGTATCATTCATCTAAACCTAAGAGCGCTTAGCCCACAGCTTTCTGAAATTTCATGCAAGTCATCACAGGAAATTTTTTGAACCACTCAAAGAACTTCTAATTAAATAACAAGAGACCTGATGTTATAAGCTGTACAGACTTGAAACATTCAAGAATACCTATAACATATTGATAATCCTAATTAGGATGATCCTGTTGTTTTACCAAACATTTCCACACAGATTTTGCATTCCCACACAGATTTTACAGAATCATAGAGTGGTTTAGCTTAGAAGGGATCTCTTCAGATCACCTAGTCAGACCCCTCTGCTCAAGTAGGGTCAGCTAGAGCAGGTTTTCCAGGCCAATGTCCTGGTTGGTTTGGAGTATATCCTGCATAGACCTACCAGGCTGAGGAAATGGAAACTGCACAATTTCTCTCACTTATTATTTTTTCTACCTAGGAAGTCATAAAGACACCATATATCTAATGGCAAATACTCACTGCTATTCTCTGTAAGGCATTTAATTTTACATAGAGTGATCATGTTCTTTGGTTCTGTTTGTATCTCTTCACAAGAATATGATCTTACTTTGCAATTCTCATTTACTTGTATATAGTATACAGGTTACTAGTAATTACAGAATTCTTAAAAAATTTCTCTTAAAATAGGAGACTTTCTTCTTTTTGCCTTAACACTTTCATCTTACTTATCTAGCAACCCAAGAATCTCTTAGTTAGAACATAGAAACCATTCCTGTTGCTAAAAAGTTATGGTTTCACACTACAGAGGAAGAGATAGCTGGAATTCATAGATTCATAGAATGGTTGGTGTTGGAGAGGACCTTAAAGATCATTTAGTTCCAACCCCCTGCTGTGAGCAGGGTCACCCTCCCCTAGATGAGGTTGCTCAAAGCCCTGTCCAGCCTGAGATTCTCCTTTTCCCAGAACAGAAAAACAGAAACATTAGTTTTGTGACATCCCTTCTGCAAGAAGAGCAAGAATAAAGGACAGGAATTTCTGTGGGTCATGTGAAGAAGATACTTTATTGAAGAAGCGGGTTGTAAATATTACTTGTATTCACATTGAAAAATTACTTTGATCTGGTGAAGAACTTCTGTTGCCTGGCAGGTTTAATCTTTTTACATTTTTTTCTCTTTGAGGCCTTACACTGCAGTGAGCAATGTGATAGGCAACACAAACATATCAAAAGTTTGCTCACAGAGGAACAAACGTTGTCACACTGGGGATGTCTGTTCTGGAGCTGAATCTCTATGAGATGACATACTCCCTGCCTGTAGTGTTCTCAGCCACTTTTAGGGGGATTGATAGTACAGAAGGAATTAATTCATTTTCAACTTAATGAGAAGTGGAACTAATTCAGCACATCAAATCCTTCAGTTATACAGTGGATTTATATTCCCTTCTATTTATGAATTTCTCATGCATTTTAAGTCGGATACATATTACTAAACTTCAGGGGAAAACAGAAAAGAAACCAACAAGAAAATCATAACTAGCAATGATGTTATATTGTGGTTTTCACATGGTGAAACCACTACTAAGAACAATTTTCTTTTTATTTAGGCCATGATCTGCTCTCAGCTACTTAACTTGGTATCACCAACCTGCAGTGTGCCAAAGGATGGGTTTGTCATTCGTTGCCAGCTTGATATGCAGGACTGCAGTGAACCAGGACAAAAGAATTGCACTTGCCCTACACTGTCAGAGTATTCAAGGCAGTGTGCTATGTCCCATCAAATGGTATTCAACTGGAGAACTGAAAACTTCTGCTGTAAGTTCAATCATTTTATTCATAGGAGATTTTACTTAACCTTGCTATATCTTACACACTCTGTGTAATAATGAGGATGAAGTGATAATGAAATAAACTGTCTCTAATGTCTTGAATCATATTATTTTCTTAAGAGTAACACTGTTTTTTGGTAAAGTCTTAAGAAGGAGAGCGTGGAAATTTCAAAGGAAAAAGCTTTTAAAGGGCCTCTGAAGTCTTTGAACCTCTTTTGCTAACAATTGCCATAGCCCCTTTTATTCACAGGAGATTTTCAGTAGTCCATTTTCAGATGCTTGACCTTTTTAGTTATATCTAATGATTGGAAAAAAATAAGAAGCAAATCTTCTATTACTCTCCAAGCTGTACATGATTAGACACACTTTTCTTTCAAGTGCCTATTTACTATCAAAATTCTGATTAATTTTCTTGCAGTCCTTCTAAATCAATGTGAAACCTCAGTCTCTAGTCAGTGCTATGTAGCAGGATTCATTGTTTTATAAGAGAATTTGTTTATCACAAAAAGAAAGTCAAAAGTGACTTAAGTTTAGGTTACTTCTAAACCAATTCACACATTAAATTACCAGAGATGCAGCTCATATCAAAATTTAAGAATTTAAGAATTTGTAAATCAATGCCAAATAAGCAAAGGTAATGAATTTTTTAGTCCTTATTGTTTCTTTGTCAGCCTCATCTCTAACTGCCTCTGTTTCCCTACCTCACTTGTTTTTACTCTTTCAGGTAAGATTGAATTTATCACATTTATATATGTTCTATGTTCCATATATTAAGATTTCTAGGTAGCTGCATTCTGAAAAGCAGATGATGTCTGAGAAGCAGGAGCTATATAGAAGATGAAGAGTTGTATTCTTTAAATTCTTCAAGTACTATGGAAAATCTGGTTTGTAGTAGTTTACTAGACTGCAGTACAGCCTGCTTGCCATTCTTCAAGCTTCTGAAAGGAGTTTCTAATAAATAGGGATGAAGAATGAATAAAAGCTAGAGTGAATATGGTGGTAATGATGAATATTCAAATGTTGAACTGAGTATTAAAGCAGGATAAGAGAACATTAGTGCCAGTAATCACAAGATCTTCTCCATCCTAGGTGGTAGATGAGATCTGTGTTTACACTTTAAAATCCTAACGCTTTCGCTGTTTGTTGCAGCTGTGGGAAAATGTTCTGCTAACCAAATCTATGAGGAATGTGGTTCTCCATGTATTAAAACCTGTTCCAACCCAGAGTACAGCTGTTCCAGTCACTGTACCTATGGTTGCTTTTGTCCAGAAGGTATCATTTCTGTATTCATCATATCTTAGATGGCACATACAAATGTTTCTGGCATATATCCAGTTAAGTGTAATAGACTTCTTAATAATGAACTAGCAGTGCATTTCAGGGCATTGTGTTGCTAGAACTTCCATTTTTCATGTAACATAACTGAAGTCTTGAGTAGTCATGGTCCTTAAAGGTTCTTGATTACTATTTACAAGAACAGATTGGGAAAGCATTCTTCTTACAAGACCTCAATACGTGATGGGATTATTATATGCTGCCTTTTTGAAATTCTGTGCTGTAATATACATTGAGTAAGATTTAATTAATTTCTTACCCTAAAGAGGTGTCCAGCATTTCAGGCCACCAGCAACAGGTAGCATACCTCAGAGAATTTTTTCAATAGTGTGGGCATTTAGTAAAATCCCTTTAAAGTAGTTTAAGATTAATTTCCTGAAAAAAAAAAAAAGTATTGACTATCGTTTGCAATGTTTCTTGAAATTTCAGAACTGTCTTCCAAGGTTATTGTGCTGTGGGTATTTACATCAATATCATAACCATTTTAGAGTAGTCAAAAGTAATTTGTTCTGAGCTACATATTTAAAGCTAGACTTAGTACTCTAGGAAAAAGAAGGTGTCCATTCTTCAAAATTTCCAATTTAATTAGTCTTACAGCAAAGTATAAAATTTGAAAAAATTACATTCACACTCTTATTTCAAGTTAAATTAAAATTTCAAATAAAGACAATTGTCTGCACTTTCATATAACAAAGTAGCCAAATGTTGTTATCACTTGGAAAGAGTCGGTTTTATTTTAATTAAGAGAAAATGCCCTGTACATTACATCTCTAAGTATGGGCACTGACTGTGCAAGAATAGCATTCTCAAGCTAAGTTAGGAAAGCATTCAAGCTATATTATCTTTAGTGCTAAGTGAGGATATGGAGAAGTATTTATTATTTTGTTTACCATCTTTGGCAGGAACAGTTCTTGATGACATCTCAAAGAATCGAACATGTGTTCACATTAAGCAATGTCCATGTACACTAAATGGGAAAACATATGCTCCTGGTGAGACAATGAAAGCAGCATGTAGGACCTGGTGAGTAGCAACAGGTACTTTCATGAGAGGATAAAGAGCATCCTCACCAAGCAATTGAAAGATTTAGCTTAACTTACCAGAGCTGCAAAGATTTCATACCATCTCCAAGGCCACCTTCTTGGAATGTCACAAATCATATATTTGTAATTGAAGATGTACATGTCTCATTCCAGATTAATCTCTACAAATATAAATGCTCCTTTAGGCCACACAAAACAGTAGCATTTTTATCTCCTTTATGAAAGTGGAAATAAAATTAGTACAAAACAAATACCCAGTGTTTTCAGTTTCTTCCTCGCAATCTCAGAGTTTCTGATACCAAGTCGAAAAACAAAATTTCTGTTTTGCAGTGGTAAATAATTCTGACAAGTTTTTTTTTTAATTTTTAATTATTTTTTAATTGGAATAATTTTTTTTGTGTTACATCTCTTGATACCATAATTCTAATAAGTAGAAGAATAAATAATGCAATTTGATTATCAGAATTGTAACAATGAACACTTCTCATGATCGATCTATTCAGGAAAGTTTACTGACAATACATACGAGAGTTCAGCAACTTTCGATTAAGATGAACAACTTCAGCTGATAATCATACAGAAAGAAAAGCAGTGAAAGCGTAAGGGGAAAAGTGAAACAAATGACATCTCCTATTACTAGGAAGTAGCTTGAGTTTTTGGAGGGTAAAAAAAGAAATTTCAAAAAGGTGGAAATAAAATTTCATAATCTACATGTATGTTACACTGTGTTCACTAACCCATTTTGCGTATTGATCAGCTACAGCAAAAATTCCAGACATAAGGATCAAATCCTCTGCTGGTAATAGTGCCTTAGTATGAGAATAAACTCACACAGAATTTCTTGTTTTCCTTAGTAAATGTACAATGGGTCAATGGAACTGCGAAGACTTGCCCTGCCCTGGAAGGTGTTCACTGGAAGGAGGCTCCTTTGTTACCACATTTGATTCTAGATCATACAGGTTCCATGGGGTTTGCACTTACGTTCTTATGAAGGTAATTCCCTGCAGTCTAGAAATATACAATGTCAAATGGACATATTTGAATCTGTCTTTGGTTTCCTATTGGAACACAAACTGAGGTCATCCTATGACATAGATTTATTCTACAAATCATTGTTATGCTGACACAGACTTCCCTTTTCACTATTTCCCTCCAGAGTCCCAGCCTGCCACACAATGGAACTCTAATGGCTGTATATGAAAAGTCTGGTTATTCTCATTCTGAGACATCACTTAGTGCTGTAATTTACCTGTCTACAAAGGTAAGTATTCCCTCCACAGGTTCTCTCTAGCATTTCAGTAACCAGATTAGCAAAATAGATACTTAAAATCATTGCTGGTAGCCAGAACTGAAAAAATTTAAGGGACAGGTACTAAAGATATGTTCCACTTCATACGTACATAATAAAGATCTCAGCTGATACATCAGCTCAAGAAGTTAGAGTATTTTCAAAGTGAAAACTGAAAGCAATGTGGGATAACATGAGAAAAAGCTTGAGTCAGTGTTTTCCTATTATATAAGTTATTGACAATACAGTTGCTTCAGTTAAAGAACATATGAATACCATCAGCACAGATAAGTACTTCTGGTTCCATGTCCTTTTCTTACAGGATAAAATTGTGATTTCTCAGAATGAGCTCCTTACTGACGATGATGAACTTAAGCGGCTACCTTACAGATCAGGTAAAGAAATGGGAATATATGTAAAATCCAAATTACATTAAATGTCTGTTTTACACAGCCCAGCATCTCTTCTCTCACAATTGCCAGTAGCAGAGTTTTTAGAGGAAGCTTAAAATCTTTCACATTGCATCTGTCCATCTATGGAGAGTTGTGTGTGGAAGAAGGTGACTCATAGAATGCTAGAATACTTACATACGCATTGAAATAATTACTTTGCAATATTCTATGCATCCAAATTTCTGTTTCTATATTTCCTTGTTCTTTTAGGAGACATCACTATTTTCAGACAGTCCTCGATGTACATTCAAATGTATACAACCTTCGGGCTGGAACTTGTAGTTCAAACGTCACCTGTTTTCCAGGCCTATGTTAAAGTTGGACCACAATTCAAAGACAGAACTCTAGGTAAGAAATCTGGTCCCCATGTGAAGGAGAAAAATGTAGGGAATGCAATTTTGAAAGCAATTTTAAGAAATTAATATATTTCTTTTGCTAGTAACTTTGAAATAAAAAAATTAGATAGGTGACATTTTTCATGTAGTATAATACTTCACATGTTTTATGTGTGCTTTTTTCAATATGTGCTTTACTTCACAAGAACAGGCAATAAACTGGTCTGTGTGGTCTCTACATCTTGGAGCATGTGGTTCTTTGAACACAGTACATGATCACTGTAAAGACAATGAGCCTAGTAATTTAAAAGCTTCTCAGCACCTGATGGAGGTGTTTATTTTTATTAGACAGCAATGTTAGCCACAAAGGCATCTCCTGCATTCTAATTGTCTGTGGGGAATTACAGAGAGGCTTTGGCATTTAAAAGAGTCTAAATGTATATTCTTTGTCTTTACAGATATTATATACATAAGAAAATGTGTAACTGCAAAAGTATTTCATGACCTTTCTCTTTCACTTGATTTAAAAACACCAAAAAAGCCTTTTTTTCTAAAAACAAGACAAAAACTTCTCTATGAATTTGTCATTGAAGTGGGCAGTCTTAAGTTGAAGAGGCAGAGGCTCAGTGCCTGTGTAGATAATCAAGATTCTTTCTCTGGCTGCTTGACCGATAGTATTCATTGACACTCCATATAGAACTTTTGAATCCATTTTCTCACTATTATAGAATGAAGCATAGACCATTGTGTACATGATTTAATTTCCCCCCATCCCTTGCATTTCTAATGTTACTAGGTTTGTGTGGCAATTACAATGGAGACACTACAGATGACTTCATGACTAGCATGGATATCACTGAAGGGACAGCCTCCTTGTTTGTAGATTCCTGGAGGGCAGGAAATTGCCATCCTGCTTTAGAGAGAGATACTGACCCTTGTGCTTTGAGTCAACTGAACAGTAAGTAGATGACCCTGTTGTAACTGATCTCTCCAGCCAGCTTTGTCTGACTCTTCCATAAGCTCATACCAAGGGAATGAGAGAGTTTAAGAGAAGCAGAGACTGAGACAATTGAACATCACAAATTCTGTCACTAACAAGACATTTCTGATGTCTAGGATACATAGAATCATAGAATAGTTAGGGTTGGAAAGGACCTTAAGATCATCAAGTTCCAACCCCCCTGCCATGGGCAGGAACACCTCCCACTAAACCATGTCACCCAAGGCTCTGTCCAACCTGGCCTTGAACACCGCCAGTGATGGAGCATTCACAACCTTCTTGGGCAACCCATTCCAGTGCCTCACCACCCTAACAGAAAAGAACTTCTTCCTTATATCTAATCTGAACTTCCCCTGTTTAAGTTTTTACCCGTTGCCCCTTGTCCTGTCACTACAGTCCCTACTGAAGAGTCCCTCTCCATCATCCTTATAGGCCCCCTTCAGATACTGGAAAGCTGCTATGAGGTCTCCATGCAGCCTTCTCTTTTCCAGGCTGAACAGCCCCAACTTTCTCAGCCTATCTAGTATATATGCTTATGTAGTATAGATATAGAGATCTGGGATTGAGATTATGAATGAGAGGCATTTGGTGATATTCCAGTGAAATTGCAGTGTCCATGGATGTCTTAGTCTTGCTCCGAAGTGCTGTGAATGAAATTTTTGCCTTTTCAAGTCTCTATTGCTATTGGTTTAACAAAACAAAAAGCTCTACTGAGCTGTTTGAGCAAAAGTATAGTCTAAAGTATAGTCTGCAAACTAACAAGCTAAGAAGCTGCCTTTTGTTCATCATTGCCAAAAGCTCAGCTAGAGTGGTGTGTCCGGACTTTTTTTTTTTCAAATTCTTTTTATTTTTCCTTTTTCCTATCTTTAATGTCCACATTTTACTTTCACTAGAAATATCTGCTGAGACTCATTGCTCCATTCTTACCAAGAAGGGTACAGTGTTCGAGAAATGCCATGCTGTGGTGAACCCTATTTCTTTCTACAAGGTAGGAAATTATGGTAGACGTTGTACAGAGGGAGTCCAAATATGAACCAAAACGTCCTAATATAAAGTATCCCGCTCATTTGGATCAGCAGCGCATAGAAGCTAAGGAACTGTGGTTTTGAAAGTCACGCCTCCACCACACTAAAATTCCCCAATAGGCACCAGTGCTGTCCATATGAATCAGAAGGTATTTTTGCACATGCTTCACTTCTCCATGTTGACAACTTTAAATATGCAAAGTATTGATTTTCCCATGTGCTTAATTGAGCTCATTCTACTTGTGAATCTCCACATAACATTTTGAAAATTAAAAATGAAAAGCAGTGGATAAACAAAGGCATTTTTTAGGTACTAAGTATTTTTTATTCATGTCAATATTTTTCATCAGTTATTATGCAATAATATGTATTTTGCTGACTTACGTTTGAAAGTTAGCTTGGAATCATTTAGGTTGGAAAAGACCTTTAAGATCATAGAGTCCAACTGTAAACCTGACACTGCCTACTGCTAAACCATGTGCCTCCACAAGAGATCTGCACAGCTTTTAAATACCTCCAGGGTTTAGCACTTCAAAATTTCTGCTCCCTAGTAACAGAGTTTTCTCCGTGTATTTGGTTTCAGAGATGTGTCTACCAAGCCTGTAATTATGAAGAGACCTTTCCTTACATTTGTTCTGCTCTGGGATCATATGCACGAACATGCAGTTCAATGGGTTTAATCCTTGAGAACTGGAGAAACAGTATGGACAACTGTAGTAAGTCACTGAACCAATTCATTATAGTCTGCCATCAGGTGAATGCATGCGTGCAGGTCTATCTGTTTCCATTTAGAATATTCCCATATTTGATTCACCTAGATGAAACTGAATAAGAGCAAGAACGTATTTTAAAACTACTTGCCAGTCACTAGAAAATAACTACTTATTGCTCAAGTCGGCCAACCAGCAGGTTTAAAAGCCATATTCCCAGGAGCTGCTGGTTTCACCAATGTGTCATAACACAGCAAAAACCATAAATGGTAAAGCAGTATTCTAAACAGCATCCAAATCATCTTAATAATAATGGGGAAAGTAGTGAACAGAAAAAACAGAGAGAAAAAGCAGAAATGGGATAACAGATGTCCAATTACTCAATACCCTGTAGTCTGTTTCAAAAAAGGATTATGTGAGATAACTCATGCTCTAAGGTGAGCATGTGGATGTTCCCACCACTTAAAAATTAAGTGATGGAATAGAGAAATTAACAAAGCTATACTGTACCTTAAGATAAGAAAGAACTAGGAAAAAATCTGCAGATGATATATGCTATTATGCAACTTAGACATAGGCAAAGTTTTCAGTTACTCAGAAATACATTGGTATTTCTGCAAAGCTTCTCTTTGCATTGTTTTATTCTAAGATGCACAAAGGAGCAATAAGGTATTTAACCTTCATAAAACTTCAAACCAGCTACATGGTTGGGGTTAAGACCTGGTCTGAAATATTTTTTTCTAGAGCTCCACATCCACAGGAAGAGAATCAATAGGACGCATTAAGCATTGAAGCTGTTGACACAATATAAGCAACATATTATGAACATAGTTATCTTTCACAAGGAAGAGGATAAGTAAATTAAGTTTAATATACACTCTTGTCTTGTTTAACAGCTATTACTTGTACTGGCAATCAGACATTCAGCTACCACACTCAGGCATGTGACAGGACATGCTTGTCACTCTCAAACCGAGCCCTGGAGTGTCATCCAACTGACATCCCTATTGAAGGCTGCCACTGTCCTCAAGGACTGTACTTGAACCACAAGAATGAGTGTGTTCGTAAATCTTATTGTCCTTGCTATTTAGAAGATAGAAAGTACATCTTGCCTGACCAGTCAATAATAACTGGTGGGATTACCTGGTAAGTATGTCAAGTTTGAAGATTAACACACTGAAAATGGAGGCAGGGGGTCTTCATGTGTCTCTATTGAGGGTTAATGTCAGTAAGTAGCTAAGTACCACATAGCTGCTTGCTCACTCCACTTCAGCTAGATGCAGAAGAGAATTAAAAGGGCAAAAGCAAGAAAATTTGTGGGTTGAGACAGACAGTTCAGTAACTTTCTTTATTATTAATAAGCAAAAATAAGCTTATTTAATAAACAAAGCACCATGAACAATTAAAGCTAAACATCAGCAGGCAGATGTTTAGACATTTCCAGGAAACTTGAATTTGTCATACATAATGGTTACTTGGGAAGACAAGCACCATAACTGAACATCCCTTCTTTCTCCTTCTTTACCTGTGCTTTAACTGCTGAGCATGATGTTGTATAGTATGGAATCTCTCTTTGGCCAGTTTGGGTCAGCTGTCCTGACTATGTCTGCTCTCAGCTTACTCTTGGGGCAGTGTGAGAAGCAGAGAAGGCCTTGACCCTGTTCAGCAATAACTAAAACAACATCATGTTATCAACAGTGTTTTGGTCACAAATCGAAAACAGCACCATCAAGCTTCTACAGAGAAAATTAACTCATTTCCAGTACATTCTCCCTTACTTTTAATACTAAAGGTCCGTTTTTTAAGAAATCATTTTTGCCCTTTCTTAAAATACAAAGATTCTTAAATGAATAAAAAGCATTTAACTTACCTTAAGCTTGGAAATATTAGGGGAAAAAGTAGAAAATAATACGTAAGATCTGATTATTCCTGGTAAGAGATTTTGTCAACAGCAAACAGCAGCATATGGACAGCTATATACAAGCCTCAAGAATTCTTTGATAGGCCATCATAATAGTGAATGGCTTACTATTCACTTTCAAAACTGATGTTACTGTATACTACAAAATGTAAAAAGACAAGTTGACTCATTCCATTTTGAAGGACGCAGAGGAGCTAGTAGCATAAATGAAACACTTCCAATGACAAAAAACATGAAGCCACTTCACAAAGAATTAGAATGTCTTTCTTAGGAGTGAATTGCATTGAAATGCCTTTTTTCCTCCTCCCCAGCTACTGCGTTAATGGAAGGTTAAGTTGCACAGGCAGACCTCAAAATCCTGCAGGTATGGGTCTGATATGGTTTACTTAGAAACATATTCTTTTTCCCCATGTTGCAAAATCGCTACTTCACAATCTCTGCCATGTTTGTTTTTCTTCCTTTTTCCTAGAAAGCTGCAAAGCTCCTAAGAAATATATATCATGTTCTGATAGTTTAGAAAACAAGTATGGAGCTGCATGTGCCCCTACCTGTCAGATGCTTGCTACTGGAATTGAATGTGTAAGTTTCAGAGCTCTGTGATATTTATCCTCTTGAGAGAGAAAGAATGTTCTGGTTGTTATTTAGAACTTTACTATGTTCCTTCTAACGTTCCTTCTAGTGAAATGAGATATTTCTTCTAACGTGATACAGTTAAACACCAGACTTCTTTCCACAGACTAGACACTAAAAATTTACGTATAGTCAAGAAGTGGTTAAAGGAATTAAAGTACATAAATTAACAAATTAAATTTGATTAATTCAATAGAATAAAAATCCATTAAGGGTTCTTAGCTACATGGCTATCATCTCTGGCTCAGGTACTACATAAGCTGCATGTCACTGGAAATTGATAGAACATGAAGTTTATGCTTCATGTTCTATTCTTTCCCAACTATGTGTTGCTGATGGTCAGAGGATGCAGGAGATTTAGGCTAGTGGACTTCTGATAGGATTTTCATTAAGGAAACAGAGTAATTGGAAGAACTGTAATAAAATTCCTTCGTATAAAAAAACTTCTGTTGTACTGATGGAGTCTCTTCAAGTATGTTTAATACCTTACACAACAGGTATAATAGAACTTCAGTGAAACTAGTTAACTAGTACACTAGTATGAAGAAAATCACAAAACTGAAATCAAGTCAAAATTAGAACTTAGCACAGGCTCACTCGTGACACCATTCACGTAGATATCACAAGATAAAATGCATCTCACGTTTCATGTTACAATCTGTTGATCTTTACCAGATACCAACTAAATGTGAATCTGGCTGTGTCTGTGCTGATGGGCTATATGAAAATCTAGATGGCAGGTGTGTTCCAGCTGAGGAGTGTCCATGTGAATATGGTGGTCTTGCTTATGGAAAAGGTGAACAGATCCAAACTGAATGTGACATCTGGTAAGAAACACATTTTTCCATTGTGGAATCTCTGCTTCGTTAAACTGTACAACTCCAGTGTCTAGTTGACAGGAGAGCAGGAAATGGCAACAGCTGAATGGAAGAAATACAGTAACAAAGCACAAAGGTGATAAAGACAATCTTAGTATCTTACAGTCTATATGCATAGATAAAAGAGTCATGGTATGTGCTTCAGGGATAATTTCTGCCATATGCATATCCAGGAATAAGGGCATCCAGTAGGGCCTGTAACTGTAAACTATGTAAGGTCAAAGATTAACAACTCCACCTAAATAAAGATGAGAGCACAATCATCCTTCTTTTCTATAGATGAAAAGAAATCCCCCCCAAAAGTTTGTTTCCATCTCTTTAGCAGCATTCTCAATGTATTTTATTCTCCTTTCCAGTTACTAATCTAGTATTAAAAAAACACTGCTATACAAACTACACAGGACAGGGACATCTGTTCTCAGTAAGAGCAAAAATAAATGAGTTTTATATTCTTTCATGAAAAAAGAAAGCAAAAATGACTTAAGATTTCTTCTTTATCATGAATTTATTTTCTAAAAAATCTATAACTTATGGTTCTTGTATTAATTGTAACTTGGTCACAGTGCACACAAGTTAATTAAATGATTATTTTATCTGTAAAAGTGTGTGTATATAAAAAGAAGCAGGTTAAGGTGGCATTTCTTTGAAATCTGAGTATGGTTTCTCTTCTTACTCCCAGCACTTGCAAAAAAGGCAAATGGAAATGTGTTAAGAAATCAGTGTGTTCCTCAACATGTAATCTGTATGGAGAAGGCCACATCACCACTTTTGATGGACAGCGTTTTGTGTTTGATGGCAACTGTGAATACATATTAGCTATGGTAATCTGCCTCTTACTGCTTATTTTGGCAGTATCTCAGCATCAAAAAATAGCTTGATCTAAATGGCTAATGAAAATATCCTAGGATGCATCTATATTCAATAGAGAACCTTGAATCTTTATAAACACTTGTTTTTATATTTTCTGCTTATTTGAATACGTTAGATGAAGAGACTTCTCAAAATACATTTTTTTTCTCATGCAGTTACAACCAATTTTACATTTAATAACATATTTAAAAAGTCATTGATATATACCTATTCTGTACCAGCTAATTATATCTTTTAGGGAAGTGATGTCAGTTTGAATAAAAAATCAGAGGTCATCACCTCCCAAAACAGGCAGAATCAGTCACGATACTTTAAGCTTTCTTTACTTTTATTTCTGTTTTAAGTTGGAAGACTTTTGGGGTTTTCTGCTTTTTGTTATTTGTTTTGTTGGATTTTTTAGGATGGCTGCAGTGTTAATAGACCGGTTTCCTCTTTCAAAATTGTTACCGAGAATGTCATCTGTGGGAAATCAGGGGTTACATGCTCCAGATCCATTAGCATTTACCTTGGGGTAAGATTTTAATTCTGCTATTTATCCAGCTGAATAGTTATTTTAAGCCCATGTTTGCTGCCCCTTTGGAAGCTTTAGCTGTATCTTAAGTGATGTCTTGGAAGTAAAATGATGTGCTATGACTAGAACTTCAGGTTTAGTAGGAATTGCCATCACTTTTTTTTTCTTCAATTCACATGTCAACGTTTCAGTCCCTAAACTTCCTGCATATGTGGAGCCATTCAGAAAGCCAGTACAAAGATGCAGATTTCCCCTGCCAAGCCTGTACTGATACTGGGGGTTGCCCTGACCCAGGTGTAGGATCTTACACTTGGCCTTGCTGAATCTGATAAGGTTCATATGGGCCCCCTTCTTGAGCTTGTCAGGGTCCCTCTGAATGTCATCCTATCCCTCAGGTATGTCAACTGCACCATTAAGCTTGGTGTCATCAGCAAACTTGCTGAGGGTGCACTCAATTCCACTGTGTATGTCACTGATGAAGATATTACACTCTACTGGTCCCAGTACAGATGCCTGAGGGACGTCACTCATCACTGTTCTCCATCTGGACTTTGAGCTGTTGACCACTACTCTCTGGATGTGACCAGCCAGCCAATTCCTTATCCACCAAATCCATATCATCTCCAATTTAGAGAGATGAATGTAGTGGGGGACCGTATCAAAGACCATACAGAAGTCCAGATCGATGACATCCATAGTACTTCCCTTGTCCTCTTGATGTAGTCTCTCCATCATAGAAGGCAGGACTTGCCGCTGGTGAAGCCGTGCCAGCTATCTCAAACCACCTCCCTGTCTTCCATGTGCCTTAACATAGACTTCTAAGAGGATCTGTTCCATGATCCTCCCAGGTACAGAGGTGAGGTTGACAGGCTGGTTGTTCTCAGGGTCCTGCTTTCTACCCTTTTTAAAAATGGGTGCAATGTTTCCCTTTTCCCAGTCATTTCGGGACTTCACCTGGCTGCCATGACTTTTTAACAGTAGGAATGTCAAGACAGGTTGTAGTACCATAGCATCTGATCTTTGACAGTATGACACAGAATAAGGGTAATACTGAAACTGAGTAAGTTATAATGTCCAGATAAATAGATGCATTTTATTTCAGAATTTGACATTCATACTGCGAGATGAAACCTTCACTGTATCTGGAGAAAATCCCGGAGTACAATATAATGTCAAAAAGAACGCTCTTCATCTGATGTTTGATGTCATTATCCCAGGAAAATACAACATGACTCTTATCTGGAATAAGCACATGAACTTCTTCATCAAAATCTCCAGAGAAACACAGGTATTGCAGAATAACATGGCCAGTAGACCATCCTTCAATTCAGACTGAACTGCACATTTGATGAAGGTTGCCTTGACTCTGTGATGGCAAAAGTTTTTCATAGATGCATAGTTCTTTTTCATCCTTATTTCCAAAACAGCAGAGATTTCTCACTAGAGGTTGGTTTTTAAGTGACTACCCTACTACATTCAGGAAATTCTTGAGCTAAGTGCTTGTGTTTTATACAACTGCATGTTTGAATCTCATCTCTAAATGAGGACAGTTTACAGTTTACTGGAGAAACACATTCATCCAGTGATGAACAAAACCCATGCACAAGATGCTAAGAATGTATGAGAGAGTATTTATAGAACATATTCACTACTAAAGCATAGGAAATTATTAGTAATCAAAAGGGAAAGCAAGTAATTATAACTTGCTGAACTGATGTTGCTGCTTTCATTTAATCTAGGAAACTATATGTGGTTTGTGTGGGAACTACAATGGCAATATGAAGGATGATTTTGAAACTCGAAGCAAGTATGTAGCATCAAATGAACTGGAATTTGTCAATTCTTGGAAAGAGAATCCTCTCTGTGGGGATGTATACTTTGTAGTGGACCCCTGTAGCAAGAATCCTTATCGTAAAGCATGGGCAGAAAAGACATGTTCCATCATCAACAGCCAAGTCTTTTCCACCTGTCACAATAAGGTAAGAATTGATTTGGCCTTCTTTTTATTTATAGGCATAATCTGTATTCTTCCAAAAACTCACACTCCAACGCTTTATTTTCTCTTCCCCAAAATATTTTAATACTATATATATATATATAAAATGTATTATGGCCCTCATTTACATTAATCCTTTCATCCTTCTGTTTGCACTTTGCCAGCCCTTTTGTAAGCACAAAATCTAAGTATGGCATTAACTCAGAAGTCAAAAATATCAGAGTGAAAAAAGAATGAAGATTTAAGTATGAGAAATCAGTCAGTCTGTTGATGATGCCTGATACTGATTAATGCACTGTTTACTCTTTTGAAACAATTTAGCCTCGTTAGAAAATAGAATTTAAGAAAGGCCTGAAAACCTTTGTTATCACTAAATCAACAGCATCACTTAAAAGATGCAGATCAACCCAAGAGCAAGATACCATCATCCCTCCTATTTGTTTAAAGTTACCCACTTTGTGGAAATAAAAGTATTGCATAGTTCATTATAAACATTAAAACTTCCTTCTGAAGGAAAAGGTCCATTTTCAGAAGGTGAAAACAAGTGAGAAATGTCAATAATGCTGCAATGCTCGTGCATATCCACAAAGGGTATACAGCTGACAGACACTTGTGTCTGAGTGGATGTGAGGGTTCTGGGTGTTTTTTAAGCTGACTATGCATAAAATGTTCAGGACTAGAATTTAGAAATACATATCTGGCAAAGCATGATCAGTTTTTATTGTTAATGTGGAGACACCTATGTTCTTGCTAAAATGATTTGTATGAAGTGGGATTGTAATTGCTTTGACAACTGTTCAGAGGAAATAGTAGTTACTCTCATTTAATGGAACATGTATTGTTTAGCTCAGGGAAAAACACTTTCTTAACAAATAGGCACAGAAGAATCCTAAGAAAGTAATTATTTTGTTGTTCCAATGCAGGTGAATCGCATGCCCTATTATGAGGCCTGTGTTCGAGACTCCTGTGGTTGTGACATTGGAGGGGACTGTGAATGCATGTGTGATGCTATTGCAGTATATGCCATGGCATGCTTAGATAAAGGTATCTGCATTGACTGGAGGACCCCTGAGTTCTGTCGTAAGTTTCTTCAAGCTCTCTTTAAAAAGTTGAAGTGATTATTATTCTAACTGTGAGTATATTAATATGGCAACATAGGTAATTGCTTAATAAGCACCTCCAAATTTGCATTTTCTCTATGGGCAAATAGCTGACTTCAGTCATAGAGTCATAGAACCGTCAGGGTTGGAAACGACCTTAAGATCATCAAGTTCCAACCCCCCTGCCATGGGCAGGGACACCTCACACTAAACTATGCCACCCAAGGCTCTGTCCAGCCTGGCCTTGAAAACCTGCAGTTTTCATGTATGCTAAATTAACCAAAATATTGTATTTCTTTTTACCATGGATGAAAGAGAAAATAATGTGGTTCTGGAAGGCAGACTGTTTCCTTTGCTACCACTGCATAGTGAACTGTCAGTTTCTCAGCAGAAGGAGTATGAAATTAAAAAAGATTATGTTGAATTTTAGCTATGATACAATCACCTTCTGTGTGGACAGAAAGGAAATAAAGACTGCTGTGTTGGCTGGAACACTGTAAAACAGGAAAAAGGTATCAAGGCATTCCAGAACACCGTATATGGAGGGTAAAAGAGGATAAGTGTTATAAATCAATGCTGGAGTTATCTATGATGATTTCTTTTCAACATTCCACTATATTATGCATTAAAAATAGTGGAAATATTTTCATAGTGCATTTAAAAAACAAAACTTACTTTACTTCAGCATAAATTTCAATTTATATCTGAAGCTAATAATTTAAATGAAAATTTTGTCCTCCCTTTAGTTCTTTGAAAATAACATGTTGTTAATTAGAAAAATTCTCATTTCTCTCTTGCTTTTACCTTTTTCAGCTGTTTATTGTGAGTATTACAACTCTCATAAAAAAAAAAGAAATGATGATGGTTATTCCTATGGCTACAACAATGACAACTGCACCTGGCATTACAGACCTTGTAACTGTCCAAATCAAAACTACAAATATGTCAACATTGAAGGTAATAAGCTATACTAGTGTAAACAAGGGAGCAATAACCTAGTAATTGTTTTCAATGCTGTTTTTTAAAACAGACATAACACAGTTAAATAGTGATACCCTAATTGATGCTACCTTTAAAGCAGTTTTGCTGACCTTTACCTTACAACTTCTGCTTTAAATACATAATCAATTCAGTACCTGTACTACATCTAGCTTTATATTGAGCTCAGCCTATTATGAAGAGAAATTCTCTGGCTTGCAACAAATCAAAAGAATATGCTGTACTTTTGTAAGAAAACATGGAGAGAGCAGTTAATATTTTTATTAGACAAATGGATATAGCTGGAGAAAGCAAAAGAATTACTATGTGAACAGATCCTTCTTCTGAGGATGACAGTGGAAATGCTTATCTCATTCAATCAATACCATTTTTCAGTAATAGAAATCTAAGATACTAGATAATAAGTGGTATAAATTAAATGGTGCTCTCTGAGAAATGTAAACCAAACTTCTCTTCCCCTTTCTTCAGGCTGTTACAACTGTTCTCATGATGAATACTTTGACTATGAGAAGAAAAGATGTATGCCATGTGGTAAGCAGCAACCCATACATACTCATTCCTTTCCTGTACAGTAACTGGAAAAACAATACTAACACATTCTGTATTCTCAAAGAAGGTATTTTTCCTAGTACCTCTCAATTAATCCATGTTCATCCAAATGTAAGTTTCCTTCAAAATAACCCCATTACTCTATTGCTGGTATGTAAAACTTCATGTCATAAGTAAAGGAATGAAAAGAACTATTAGAAGAAGAATTAGGGTGAGGAATGCTGTAATACAGAGTTGGGTAATCCTGGATGATTTTAGTTAGCAAGATGAAGAGTTACATTCGTTGTAAATGTGAGTACTTTTAAAAATGGAGGTCTTCTTGAAAGTGAATCAGTGTTCTGATCTGCATGAAGGCCTGCCCCAGTCCAGCTGTTACTCTCAGATATATTCAAATGCTTTCACAAAAAAAGGGAACATACAGAAGAGGATCAGACCTAGCTAATGGGATTTACATAGCAAATGTCTTTTTAAAGATTTTTTTTATATATATATATTAACTTATGGTTTATTCCCATGAGGTTTACTTCTATGAAAGCCTATCATATTAAATAATGTTTTGGATAGTTTCTAGCTGCACAGTTTGTTTTTTCATACAGATATAAAACACACCCAAGGACAATTTTTCTCACAGAATTCTAACTTGTGTAATCAGAATCTTAGCCAGTGATTAATCTTATTTCTAAACAAAAAGCATATTTCCATTATCCCTGAAAAGTGAGGACTCCCTTAAGCATAAAAATCATAAGAAAGGTAGCAAGAACTTAATCATTTTTATTGTAAGATACATTGACTTCTTTGTCATTTAAGTCCTTCAACGTGAAGTTTACCACCGAAACATGTAATATTAAGCATTTTCAGAAATACCTCACTAATTAACACAATCCTTTGAATCTAATCTAAAATTTGCCTTATTTAGAATTTTTTAATATGCTTTCATTCACATACTTAACCTGTTTTACCTTTACACAACAGGACATGCAATCAGTAGTACCACACCTGAAACATCTCCACCTTCAACAGGTTAGTTTATGTAGTTGACCAAACTAGTACGTATACATTGATATACGTCCTCATATTTGTATATAAGGTAAGCAATGTCCTTTTTTTCGCGACATAGTAGCATCACCAGTTTCACATTCAGGAGATGCAATAATGAAAAATATCTTGGTTTCATAATTATCATAAAAATTTACCCAGAAATACTTGCTAGATGTCTGAAGAAAAAAATTATGAGACAGTGATATTTCCTGAGTATACTTAGGCACTTCCAGATACTCTGTAATAAAATATTTCTGTTACTGAATAAGGACTTCCGTCTTGTCTCTGATGGACAGAGGCATTGAGTTCAGTCTCACCAAGTTTGTAGATGACACCAAGCTGAGTGGTGTGGATGACATACCTGAGGAATAGGATGCATTCAGAGGGACCTGAACAAGCTCAAGAAGTGAGCCCTTGTGAACCTTATGAGGTTCAACAAGGCCAAGTGTAAGGTCCTGCACTTGGGTCAGGGCAACCCCCAGTATCAGTATAGGCCGGGGGGGTGAAGGGATAGAGAGCAGGCCTGAAGAGGACTTGGGGTTACTGGTGGATGAAAAACTGTATGTGAGCCAACAGTGTACGCTCACAGCCCAGAAAATTAACCATATCCTGGGATGCATCAAAATAAGTGTAGGCCTGTAAGCCAAGGGAGGTGATTCTGCCCCTCTCCTCTTCTCTGGTGAGACACCACCTGGAGTACTGCATCCAGCTGTAGAGCCCTTATTAGTATGGGAAGAACATGGACCTGATGGAGCAGGTGCAGAGGAGGGTCACAAAAATGATCAGGGGGAGGGAACACCTCTACTATGAGGAATGGTTGAGAGAGTTGGAGTTGTGTTCAGCCTGGAGAAGAGAAGGCTCCACAGAGATCTTATTGTGGCCTTTCGGTATTTAAAAGGAGCTTATAAGAAAGATGAAGCAGATATTTTAGCAGGGCCTGTAGCAATAATACAAGAGGTAGTGGTTTTACCCTTAAAAGAGGGTAGATTCAGACTAGGTAGACATTTTCTATGATGAAACACTGGAAGAGGATGTCAGAGAGGTTGTGGATGACACATTCCATGTTGGGCTGTATGGGTCTTCGAGCAACCTGATCTAGTTGAAGATGTCCCTGCTGGTTGCAAGGGTGGTTGCACTAAATGACGTCTGAACATCCATTCCAACCCAAACCATTCTATGATTCTACAAAAAACTCATCACCATTCCTAGTGATGACTGTCTGTATAACACTTCAACAATTTTAGGAAGGTCTTAGTGGAAATGCGTGACTGACAATACCAAATCCCTATAGCCTCATTCAGGAAAGGAATCTGTATATACGGATCTTAAGTTTGCTAGAAATTAGAATCATAGAATAGTTAGGGTTGGAAAGGACCTTAAGATCATCTAGTTCCAACCCCCATGCCAGGGGCAGGGACACCTCCCACTAACCATGTCACCCAAGGCTTCGTCCAACCTGGCCTTGAACACTGCCAGGGATGCAGCATTCACAACCTTCCTGGGCAACCTATTCCAGTGCCTCACCACCCTAACAGGAAAGAACTTCCTTATATCTAATCTGAACTTCCCCTGTTTAAGTTTTAACCCATTGCCCCTTGTCCTGTCACTACAGTCCCTATTGAAGAGTCCCTCTCCATCATCCTTATATGCCCACTTCAGATACTGGAAGGCTGCTATGAGGTCTCCACGCAGCCTTCTCTTCCCCAGGCTGAACAGCCCCAACTTTCTCAGTCTGTCTTCATAAATTCCATTAATTTCTCCAAAGTCGGATGGTATTAGGAAAATGTACACTATCAGCTGAGTGAATAATAAAATACAATTCCATCTCTGCTGCTATGCGCAAATATTTATGGCAAATTCACTTGAATTCCTGCAGAAGCTTTATGCATTTTTCTTCATTTTACTGTTTAATGTATTCACTGCACATAGTAGCAAAGGAATAGATGGATAACTTCTCTAAAATGTTTCATGTAAAAGGTAATGGTTTTTAATAGTAGTTACTACTAATAGCTATTAAGAGTGTTTTTACTTCAGTTTGTATAGTTGTATTAGATTATCAAGAACTATTTATCCTTTTTTTTTTTTTTTTTGTCTCTTAGTAACAACAGGGCAGCCTAAAGTATCAAGAAGCTCTACTGCAAGTACCCTACCAGTGGTACCTAGTATTTCTTCTGCAGCTACTGTATCCATTGAGACTACAAATCCCACAGTAACCTCAAAAATCACGGTTCCAGTAACTTCACCAACATCCCCTCTTGGCACAATAATGCCAACAACTGGTAGGTTTCTAGTGCTGCTGTCTAAAATAAATAATAGTAAATAATGTCAACAACTAGTAGGGTTTTAGTGTTACTGTCTAAACAAAATGATAATAAGCTCACTCTATACATAGTTGAGATACCACCCTACTAAGAAAGCATTGCAAGCTGTCTCAATATCCAAATGTAAGACTACAAATAAAGAAGCAGGCAAAGCCTACTAGGGCTCCAGCAAGGAGTCCGTAAACCAGGAATGTTCAGAAGTGTAGATCAAAAGTGCATGGAAATAGGAAGGATATAGACAGTAGGTTAAAAACACAACCAAAATCTCTTGTGTGCCTCATCCCAGAAGCACATTAAAAGCTCTACAAGCAAAGCACCAGCTGAACTCCAGCTGGATTTATTAGCTCAACTTCAGCCTCTTTTCCACAACTGGTTCAGTTATGCAGTCATATTCAAGGAGCATCCAACCTATTAACTCTGAATAATGTAAGCAGGCTCCAAAGCAGAATCACACAGGTATCAGTGCAGCAGCTTTGTTTAGGACTCTTAGAGTCCTGCTCCCAGGAGGATGATTCCTCCACCATAAATTATTTTTTGATTCTGTGACTGTGGAGACTCGTAATAATGTGTGGCTTCGCACTAACATGCACTTCAACTAATAAGCCATCATGGACCCAGGCTAACAGAGAAAGCAGAGTTTAAAAAAAGGTCCCATAGCAGTCAAAACACAATTTCAAACGCTGCCATTGTGACAGATGATTTGTATGCTGGGACAAGGAATGTCCTATAGTATGATGGTATGTAGCTTTGTAATTTGTATGTACAAATTATGGAAAGCTGAATCTGTGGCTGATTTGGAACATAAGAATATCTAATAAATTGTCATTTGTGCAAAGCCCATACAGACTTGAGCAAAAAAATCTGACTTCTTAGAAAAAATATATAAAACCCAGAAAAATACAGCAAATTAGAACAAACAAAGATATGAGACAACAGAAAACAAATACAAGTAGAGAGATTTGGCAAGCTTGTGAGAACATGAATATAAAGAATTACACAGAAAATATTCACAAGATCAAGGGTGAAGACTGGATTTCTGGAATATGGGTAGCTTCATAAATTGTCTATTTATAAAAATTCAATTAACTGATTACTCATGTTACATTATTTACCTTTACTCCAAAAGAACATACTACATCAATTTTTACCACACCAAACATGACTACATCCATCAGTACCCCTTCCATAACTACCTCAACAAAAAGAGCTATGACGCCTAAAACAAAGCCTACATCTGTTGCCTCATCAACCACTGCTTCAACAGAGACGGAACAAGTAAGGTTCACCTCACCACCCTTCAAGACCACTATCAAAAAGGAAACTACAACCACCGCAATACCTACTCAGACCACATCTCAGATCACAACTTTCAGCAAACCTGAACTAACAACAGAAGGTAATTATGACTTTTTGGTATCTGCCAAGTGAAGCCACCATTTACAAGATGCACATCAATGGATTTTAAAAAAAAACAAACCAAAACCCAAGAATTCTTACTAGTTGTCTTAAAATTGCAAATAAATTGGAAAGTACGTGGGTAACTGAGGACGTGTGATAAAATTGAAAATTTCTGTCACTTGCCAATGGAGCAAACATCTGACATCCAAATATCATTTTAAACCTAACATTTCTTTTTGAGGCCATACTCTACACTTCCTCCAAATTTAGGCAAAATCTCTCTATGCTTCAAGTCAGGTTCTTGAAAACTTGGCAAAATACGTGTTTCCCTAGCCATTTTAACAAATTCTTCCCCCCTCCCCCTGAAAAAAATATATAAAGAAATTTTACTTTGGGATGTCAGGAACTCCATATGCCAAAAAAGACAGTCTCCTCTGTGGCTGTATGACAACGTGAATTGCTAAACTAGTCACTTACTAATTTAGCAACTGACACAAGAGGCTGGGACAGTGTGCAGTGGAGGAGTCTCCTGTAGTGAGAGGGCACATGTACACACTCTCCCAATCCCGACATTTCCCACAAAGTACTGTTGGGGCGCGCACATCTGGATCTTCTTGTGCCAGCAATTACAGCATCCTCTGAGGAAGTATCACAACCCACTTTAGGAGCTTTATGAGTTCCCAACCATTACTTATAGACATTCTTCCTTACTTTACAGAGAGTGAGGGAACCCAAGCAACCATGTCCCAGTGGGTAAGAGGGAACTGAGATGCCCTTGACCTAAGATTCTGCTTCACTTACCCCTGCTTTTCCAGATGATGTTCTTGCTCAGTCTCGGAGGGGAGACATGCACATCCAGAGAGGCTTTTATTTCCTCAGGACCTCCAGAAAGAGGCAGGGGGTGCTGAATTGTGTAAAGGTACCCTTCAGGCCCAGTTCTTGCCATATATTTTTTTGAGTGGAAGCCAGCCATTGGTCCATTTATCCCTCTTGCCCAGTAAGACTCAGTGTGGTCTGGTCATACTCATACTCTGGAGCTTCTGCGTGGGGACTGCCCACCTTCTTTGCCTTCCCTTCTTGCCATGCCACCTGCAATCGACCTGTGCTTTTCTCTCTGTAGCTGTCACCCACAGAAGACCAACAAAGCCACACCTTGTGCAGCATCACATCACACAGAAGACCACCCCTTCCACATCCACCAGCAGCACCTCCATCCCAAGAATGACCATCCGTGCCAGCAGCCCAGAAGTCCCACTGACAAAGATGTCTCCAATTCCCAGCTCTTTAGCTGCCACCTCAGCCTCATCTGCTTCTTCCCCCTCCTCTACTGTGCCCTCAACACGGTTAAGACCATCATATCCTGGTAAGGCTCCCTTCTGCCCTTTATGCTGCTTAGCTGCTCCTTCCAGCTCCCACCCATTCATGCTCTCCTAAGCAGCATATCCCACACAGGCTTCACTTCTGGTATTCATTCTTAATTCCCACTGCTTTTGTCATGGGACTCCTGGGTTCCAGGCAGGTGTTGGGACTGGCCCACACATGACCCCGACTGCATCTTCTTCCCTTACCACTTCAGGGGTTTGTTTCCGGGGTACAGAGGTGTCAGGGTACAGTCATGCATGAGTTTCTACCCTACAACTAGCAAACAGAGACAAGCTAACATAAACTCTCTCCAGTTACAGTGGTGCCCTGATAATGCACAATGGGGGAAGTAGAAGGCAGTGAAATTGGAAACATATATCCAGTTTACACCTCAGGACAGTTTTGGGTGAGAGACAGAACACAAGGCAAGTTCTCCATCCAAAGGATGTCCAGGCCCTGACACAGCCATGAAAATGCAGGTCAACAAATGCCGACCCCTTGGCCAATGATGTCGCTGTGTGCAAATGATTCAACAGTGGAGGGTGGGCAAGAAGGTGTACACTCAATTCCAGACTAAAGTTATCCCACTTAGACTGATAGGGCTCCACATGCCTGGGTTGCCTTGGTGTTGACTAGAACAGTCTCCTTTGAAGAGATGCCACAAAATGCTTTGCCTAGACTCTTTCCCAAGACTCAACCATTCTTTTCTCTCGTCCCTTTCTTTGTAGCAAGGGAGCCAACAAGAGCTAGGACTCCAACTAGTAAAGTAGTAACAGGTGAGTGCTCTGGTCAGGAGAGAGCTAAGAGACATCCATGGCCAATGCCTGTACCTTCACTAGCCTTGGCTCTCCCATGCATCCTTTCCAACACAGTCCGAAGCAGGCATATTGTAAACTACCTGTAAACCAGTGGATCACACGTGAAAGTAGCGATACCTCTTCCTGTATCAAGACCTCTATGAAGAATCAGACAGAGACAAATTGATAAATGGCAAATATAAAAATCATCACCAGCCTGCAAATCTCAGAAGCAGCAGGATTGGATGAGACATATTGGGAGTCATGGCCACATTCATTCATCCAAGGAAGAAAAAAAAAAGAAAGTGCAAAACTTGCTTCTGACCTACTTGCCCATAATCTAGCATGAAGATTCTACCACAAAAGTGGCTGTATCATTGTCCTTCCCCTCTTACCTTGTCACTTTAAATTGATCTGTGCTTTTCTCCCAGCAGCTGTCACACACACAAAGACAACCGTGCCACACATCATGCCACCTCTGACCACACACAGGACCACTGCCACCACCTCCACCAGCAGCACCTCCAGGACCTCTGTCTCCAGAGAAGCCATCACCACAAGCAGCACAGAATTCCCACACACAAGGACATCTCCAAGATTGTCTCCTGTCCCCAGCAGCATCCTCAGCACCCAGTTGCCACCTACTGCTACTTCCACAGTCTTCTCCACATCGGCCCCAACCACCAGCCCCCAGCCAACACCTACAACTCTATGGCCCAAGCTGTCTTCCCCAACAACGAGAGGTCCAAGAGAGTCACGTGCAACAGAGTCCTCTGCACCCTCCACAGCTAAAACCAGCCCAATGTCTTCATCTGCATATTCTCCCTTATCAACTGTGTCCTCAACATGGCAGGTCTCCTCTCAGCCTGGTATGGCTCCTTCCTACTCTTCCCACTACCCTGACTTCTGTTCCCAACTTTCATGTTTACTTTCTTGCTTGCTTTCTTCCTTGCTTCCGTTCATGCATCCATGCATGCTTGCGTGCATCCATCTATCCTCCCAAGTGTTGAGCACTTAGCATGCAGCTAGGACCAACCCACTGTGACTGGCACACACATTGGTTCTGGATGGGTCTAAGCAGAATGGGGAGGCTTAGGGAAGAAACAGAAGCCCAATCTTCCTATTGCCCCGCAAGACACCATGTGTAACGAGGCTGACTTTCTTGTACATTCCTACCCCGGAACATTTGCCCACCATGTTTGTCTTGCCTTCCTCTCATACCTGGTCACCCTCAGTTGACCCATGCTTTCCCCCCAACAGCCTTCACTCACACAGAGACAACCGTGCCACACATCGTACCACCTCTGACCACACACAAGACCACTGCCACCACCTCTGCCAGCAGCACCTCCAAAACCTCCGTCTCCAGAGAGGCCATCAGCACAAGCAGCACAGAAGTCCCACACACAAGGACGTCTCCAAGTCCCAGCTCCGCATCTGGCCCCAGCAGCCCGCTCAGCACCTGGATGCCACCTACTGCTACTTCCACAGTCTCCTCCACATCAGCCCCAAGCACCAGTCCCAAGCCAACACCTACAACTCTGTGGCTCAAGCCATCTTCCCCAATGACAAGTGCTCCAAGAGAATCACCTGCAACAGAGTCCTCTGCACCCTCCACAGCTAAAACTAGCCCAGTATTTTCACCTGCATCTTCCCCCTCCTCAGCCATGTCCTCAACATGGCGGATCTCCTCTCAGCCTGGTAAGGCTCACTCCTGCCCTTAGCAGTTCTCTGATTTATCTTCCAATCTGTTACGTTTCCATCCTTCCTACTATCTTTTATTCCATCTCTCTCTTCATTCTTCCCTCCGTTTTTTCTTTCTCCCACCCAACCTTCAATTATCCTAGGCCCCCTTCCTTCCTCCCACCCACCCTTCCATTCTTCCTACCTGCCATCCATCATAGCAGCACAAGCTACTGCATTTTTATTTTGTTTTTTTTTTGTTGCCCTCCATTCCTGCTTTCACTGGCATCAGTACTTTGCTATGGCCAGCTTTGGTATCTGACATTGGGCAGAGGTTTCTCCCACACAGCTTGGCCTCTGGTCTGGAGGGGGCAGTAGTTACACTGTGGCTGTTCCTTCAAGGGAAATACACACATTTTGAGACACTTCTCTCCATGGAGAGGCATGGGATGTTTGCTTGATGGAAGGCACCCTTCAGGTGCTGTCTTTGTCCCCCTGTTTTGGGGCACATGCTGGGTTGGAGGAGGAGGGCAGAAGGCAGAGACCCACTCCTCCTGTCTTGCCTGGCAAGACTCCATACAGCAAGACTCTGCTTTTCTTGCACATGCCCAGAGCCCTGGACTTCCGCTTACTGCCTTTGCCTTCCCTTCTTACTTGATCACGCTCATTTGACCTGCGTTTCCCTCCCAACAGCCCTCACCCACACAGAGACAACCGTGCCACACATCGTGCCACCTCTGACCACACATAAGACCACTGCCACCACCTCTGCCAGCAGCACCTCCAAGACCTCTGTCTCCAGAGAGGTCATCACCACAAGCAGCACGGAAGTCCCCCACACAAGGACATCTCCAACTCCCAGCTCTGTGCATGTCCCTAGCAGCTCTATCAGCACCCAGCTGCCACCTACTACTACTTCCACAGTCTCCTCCACATCAGCCCCAACCACCAGTCCCAAGCCAACACCTACAACCCTATGGTCCAAGCCGTCTTCCCAGACAACAAGTGCTCCAAGAGAGTCACCTGCAACAGAATCGTCTGCACCCTTCACAGCCAAAACCAGCCCAATGTCTTCACCTGCATCTTCTCCCTTCTCAACTATGTCCTCAACATGGCAGATCTCCTCTGAACCTGGTAAAGCTGCCTCCAGCCTTTCCCACTGTCCTGTCTTTTCTTTGCAGTTACCACAATTCCTTCCTTCCACATTTCTTCTTTCTTCCCTTCTTCCTTCTTTCCTAGCAGCACAGGCTGCTACGGCATTTGTTTTGGTAGTTACTCTCTGTTCCTGCCTGCTTTGGCATCAGTACTATGCCATGGCCTGCCTTGGAAAAGGCCATGTGGCACAGCTTTCTCCCACAGAGCCTTTCCTCTTTTCTGGGAGGGGACAGTTGTTGCACTGTGCCTGTTCTTTTGAGGGAGAAACACAAATTTGGATAGGCTTCTCTCCCTTGAGAGGCAGAGGGTGCTTGCATTTTAGAAGGAACCTTTCAAGTGCTGTCCTTTTTTCCTCTATTTTGGGGGACATTCTTGGTTAGTAATTTAGATCTAGGAGACAGACCCACACCTCACTCTTTCCTGGGAGGACTCAAGACACTGCCTTTGTGTCACATGGCCCCAGCTAAGGACTTCTGCCCACTGCCTTTGCCTTCCCCTCTTACTTGGTCATGCTCATTTGACCTGTGCTTTCCTCCCAACAGCCCTCACCCATGGAGAGACAACCGTGCCACACATCGTGCCACCTCTGACCACGCACAAGACCACTGCCACCACCTCTGCCAGCAGCACCTCCCAGACCTCTGTCTCCAGAGAGGCCATCAGCACAAGCAGCACAGAAGTCCCTCACACAAGGATGTCTCCAAGTCCCAGCTCTGCGCCTGTCCCCACCAGCCCACTCAGCACCTGGCTGCCACCTACTGCTACTTCCACAGTCTCCTCCACATCAGCCCCAACCACCAGCCCCAAGCCAACACCTACAACTCTATGGCTCAAGCCGTCTTCCCAGACAACAAGTGCTCCAAGAGAGTCACCTGCAACAGAGTCCTCTGCACCTTCCACAGCCAAAACCAGCCCAGCTCCTTCACCTGCATCTTCCCCCTCCTCAACCACGTCCTCAACATGGCGGATCTCCTCTCAGCCTGGTAAGGGTCCCTCTTCCCTTTGCACTGTTCTGCCTTGTGTTCCCAGAGATCACGCTTCTGTCATTCCTGCCTTGTTTCTTCCAAGTACCACAGACTGCTTGGGCATTTGATTTGGTAGTTGCTTCCTGTTCCCTCTTCCTTTGGCATCAATAGCATGGCATGGCCTGCCTTGGAAAAGGCCATGAGGCACCTGTCTCTCCCACAGAGCCTGGACTACTGTAGGAAGGGGGCAGAGGTTACAGTGTGCCTGTTCCTTTATGGAAAACACACATATTTTGAGAGGCTTCTCTCCTTGGAGAGGCAGAAGGTGCTTGCATATTAAAAGGGACCTTCAGGTGCTATCTTTGTCCCCCTCCTTTGGGGCACACACTGGGATGGAGCAGGGGGAGAAGGCAGAGACACACTCCTCCCTTTTGCCTGGCAAGACTGTGCAGCAAGACTCTGCTTTTCTTGCACATGCCCACAGTCTGGGACTTTTTGCCTACTGCCTTTGCCTTCCCCTCTTACCCAGTCATCCTCAACTGACCCATGCTTTCCTCGCTGTAGCCTTCACTCACACGAAGACAACCATGCCACACATCGTGCCACCTCTGACCACGCACAAGACCACCACCACTGCCTCTGCCATCAGCACCTCCCAGACCTCTGTCTCCAGAGAGGTCATCAGCACAAGCAGCACAGAGGTCCCCCACACAAGGATGTCTCCAAGTCGCAGCTCTTTGTCTGCTCCCAGCAGCTCTCTCAGCACCCGGCTGCCCCCTACTGTTACTTCCATGTCAGCCCCAACTACCAGTCCCAAGCCAACACCTACAACCCTATGGCCCGAGCTGCCTTCCCAGACAACAAGTGCTCCAAGAGAGTCACCTGGAACGGAGTCCTCTGCACCTTCCACAGCCAAAACCAGCCCGATGTCTTCACCTGCATCTTCCCCCTCCTCAACCATGTCCTCAACACAGTTGATCTCCTCTCAGCCTGGTAAGGCCCCCTCCTGCCTGTTCCGATGCTCTGCCTTCTGTTCCCAGCTGTCATGGTTGCTTCCTTTTTTCCTTTGTTCCATCCATGCATCCATGCCCTCCTGAAGCATATGGGAGTTGCACATTTGTTTTGCCTGTTGGCCATCTGCTCCCTCCGCCTTTGGTTACCTTGGAACCTGCTAGACTGACTGTGGTTGGGATGGATGTCATTTTTGTTTCCAGCAGGTTGTCTGATCCTGTTGTAGTTGCATGTACTCATTAGTGTTGATAGCAGTTATGCTTTAGGAGTTGCTGTGGAGTGTATGCACAACATCCAGGTTTTCTCCATTTCTTCTCCTGCCTGTTACAATGTGGGTAAAGATGGGTAAAGATATCACTGACATAATCAGGATCCTGAGGGAAAATGAGGGACCAAGTTGATTCTCCATACCAAGAATGCCATACCCAGTGCTGGGAGACGGACCGGGCTTCCATCTCTTGGGGAATGTGGCGATTCCTTTTACATCTTGTAGGGGGTTTCAGTTGTTTTTTCTTTGGTACCTTCTGAAAACTGGGTGTACCTGGATGCATGTAGGTTTTTTTTCTCCTTCTGCATTTCTGATTCTCTTCCCATTCCTGCTGATGGGGAAGTGAAAGAGCAGATGTTGAGCACGAAGCATGCAGCTAGGACCAACCCACTGCTGACTGGCACACACATTGGTCCTGAATGGGTCTAAGCAGGATGGGGAGGCTTAGGGAAGGAAACATAAGCCTAGCCTTCCTATTGCCCCACAGAACACCATGTGTAATGAGACTGATTTTCCTGCACAGGAGCTCCACCCTGAGATATTTGCCCACCACCTTTGCTTTCCCCTCTTACCTCATCACTCTAAATCGACTCGTGCTTTCCTCCCAACAGCCTTCACCCACACAGAGACAACCGTGCCACACATGGTACCACATCTGACCATGCACAAGACCACTGCCACCACCTCTGCCAGCAGCACCTCCAAGATCTCTGTCTCCAGAGAGGCCATCAGCACAAGCAGCACAGAAGTTCCTCACACAAGGATGTCTCCAAGTCCCAGCTCCGTGCCTGTCCGCAGCAGCTCGCTCAGCACCTGGTTGCCACCTACTGCTACTTCCACAGTCTCCTCCACATCAGCCCCAACCACCAGTCCCAAGCCAACACCTACAACTCTGTGGCTCAAGCCGTCTTCCCAGACAACAAGTGCTCCAAGAGAGTCACCTGCAACAGAGTCCTCTGCACCTTCCACAGCCAAAACCAGCCCAACTCCTTCACCTGCATCTTCCTCATCCTCAGCCATGTCCTCAACATGGCGGATCTCCTCTCAGCCTGGTAAGGGTCCCTCTTCCCTTTGCACTGTTCTGCCTTCTGTTCCCAGAGATCACGCTTCTGTCATTCCTGCCTTGTTTCTTCCAAGTATCAGAAACTGCTTGGGCATTTGTTTTGGTAGTTGCTTCCTGTTCCCTCTTCCTTTGGCATCAATAGCATGGCATGGCCTGCCTTGGAAAAGGCCATAAGGCACAGGTCTCTCCCACAGAGCCTGGACTACTGTGTGAAAGGGACAGTGGTTACAGTGTGTCTGCTCCTTCAAGGAAAACACACACGTTTGGAGAAGCTTCTCTCCTTGGAGGGGCAGAAGGTGCTTACTTGTTGGAAGGAACCCTTCAGCTGGGGTATTTGTCTCCCAGTTTTGAAGGACAAGCTGGGTTGGAGGACGAAGGCAGAAGGCAGCGACCCACTCCTCCCTTTTGCCTGGAAAGACTCTGTACAGCAAGTCTCTGCCTTTCTTGCACATGCCCACAGCCTGGGACTTTTGCCTACTGCCTCTGCCTTCCCCTCTTACCCAGTCACCCTCAGTAGACCTGCGCTTTCCTCCCTGCAGCCTTCACTTACACGGAGACAACTGTGCCACCTCTGACCACGCACAAGACCACTGCCACCACCTTTGCCATCAGCACCTCCCAGACCTCTGTCTCCAGAGAGGCCATCAGCACAAGCAGCACAGAAGTCCCCCACACAAGGATGTCTCCAAGTCCCAGCTCTGTGCCTGTCACCAGCAGCTCTCTCAGCACCCATTTGCCACCTACTCCTGCTTCCACAGTTTCCACCACCTCAGCTGTCACCACCAGTCCCAAGCCAACACCTACAACTCTATGGCCCAAGCCTTCTTCCCAGACAACAAGTGCTCCAAGAGAGTCACCTGCAACAGAGTCCTCTGCACCTTCTACGGCCAAAACCAGCCCTATGTCTTCAGCGGTATATTCCTCCTTACCAACTGTGTCTTCAACATGGCGGATCTCCTCTCAGCCTGGTAAGGCTTGCTCCTGGCCTTACCCCTGTCCTGCTCATTTTCCCAGCCTTCACATTTGTATCTTCCCTCCTTCCAGCCTGCCTTCCTCTCACCTTTTCTTCATAGCAGCACAGACTGCTTGGGCACTTGTTTTCGTGGTTGCTCTCACTTTAGTTGCACTCCTGATTCTATCCCCATTCCTGCTGATCTGGAAGTGAGGGTACAGCTGTTGAGCACTTAGCATGAAGCCAGTACCAGCCCAGTGCTGAATGGAACATACATTGTGTGCTGAATGGGTCTAAGCAGGAGGGGGGACTTAGGGAAGGAAACAGAAACTCAACTCTTCCTCTTTCCATACAAAACTCCACACTTTACAGGGTTGCTTTTCTTGCACATGCTCCCAGCCCAGTGCTTTTGCCTACTTCCTTTCCTTTTCCGTCTTGGTCTATCACTGCGTGTCACTGTGTGCTTTCTTCCCAGCAGCCTTCACCCACACAGAGACAATCGTGCCACCTCTGACCACACACAAGACCACCACCACCACCTCTGCCAGCAGCACCTCCAAGACCTCTGTCTCCAGAGAGGCCACAAGCAGCACAAAAGTCCCCCCTACAAGGACATCTCCAAGTCCCAGCCCCACGCCTGTCCCCAGCAGCCCGCTCAGCACCTGGATGTCACCTACTGCTACTTCCACAGTCTCCTCTACATCAGCCCCAACCACCAGCCATAAGCCTACACCCCTCACTACTTCAACTGCTAAGAGCACTACGTATCTTTCCTCCCAAAACACCACATTTATTCCACATGGCAAAACAACTTCATTAATAGTTCCTACCAGTGTCTTTCCCACATCCACTCCAGTTTTGATCCCAACTGTTTTGTCTACAACAATTTCTTTTGCACCCGGTGTTGTTACTACTGCTTCTACAGAGTCAGTAGAAAGGACTTCTCTGCGAACAACAACACTAACCACTACCCGCACTACATCAGCTCCTTTCACCACTAGACTGTCAACATCCTTGTCTTCTGCTGTACCATTAACAGTGCCACAAGGTAAAGTATAGCCATGTCATTTCCTATGTCATATCTTTTGTTTTAGCACATACTTTCATTCATGAAGGTATGAATTCTTACATTACTTATTCTTTGGTATGATACTGTATGTATGGATTGGTTCCATCTTTTTGTCATTTCTCCATTGATTTTAATTTCATAACAACAGGTTCCCTACTATATACTGATGTAAACATGGAAAAGTCTGAGTTAAAGACGCCAAAAGGATGCTCAGGAGAGTTACAGAATCATTTAGGTTTTAATCTTAAAATCCCAGTTAAGCACTGTAAGAAAAATACATTAGGCCAGGTTATCTCCTGACTTACCTGTCAGTCTTCCCTTTAGCTGCCATAAACTCTTTCTGCCCACTTCAGTTTTTTTTTGTCTCTGTTTTGCAGGATACTCTTTTTCTCAGTTTTCAAGGTACAGTAATGTACCTTGAGGGTGAAGCAAGGATGGGCAACCTGGGAGGAATACAGAGCACTGTATAGGAGCAGGGCAAGAGGTGCATAAGTTGCCTTTGTAGTACACAATATCCTTGTTTCTCTTAATCTAAACGTGAAATACTACCTTTAAACTCTTTGGAAAACCGTTGTTTTCATCAGCTCTTTGCTTCATCAAGGGCTTAGTGTTTTGCTTCAAGTCAGGACAAAATGTCAGCTCAATAAATCTAGTCATTACCTGCTATGTCATATTACGCATTCTACCTAGTAACGAAAGACAGACTTCAGGCAGGCATCCAAGGTGTGTACTTCTGGCTGCCTGTAAATCAATCAGTCATTGAAATGTTTACATTCAGCACCTTTCAGATAAGTAAGATCTATTATAAAGACTGCGAACCAGAAATAATTCCACCACAATTATCCAGCTGGTTGTTTTATTTGCATCTTTGTTTTCTCATCAGTGAATTAGATTGTTTTTTCCTGCTGGTCTGAATTTGCACTCGACTCTTAATAGGGTGTTGGTCTTTTTTTTCTCATTTGCAATTCTAGTGACTTGCATTTTCTTGCTTGTTCTCCAGAGCAATCCTCTCATGCACCTTCAGTGCCTAGTTTAAAACCTTCTTTTGCTGTGTTACTCACCTGCAACTTGTTAATTGCCTCATGCAGTAGGAATGGTTTTCCATGAAACTGAGTATGGAAGCAAATGTCATTCATGACAACTAAGATAAATTTCTGCTATAATTTTTCTCTTACATTTGACAGAGCGCTGTAGAGAAATAAAGTATGAAGAAAAAATAACTTACAAAGGCTGTTCTACAAATGTCACTTTAAGCCGCTGTGAAGGATCATGTCCATCCTCAACAAAGTAAGTTGAGAGATTATGAGATACTGAAGTGGTTCCCTTGTGTTATTTGGCCATCTGTAAATAGTGGTATTTGTTAACTACCACTCCTTTATAATTCAAGGAGGAAAATATGGTTTGCATCTACCTAGTAATTAAATGTTGCAGTATGTCAGCTAACTACAAACAATCCTAATAAGGTCATTTAGTACATAGGGATTTACAATTTAAGCAAGGAATGTTGTCTCACTTCCTTAGTAATTTTTATAAACCCCAGACATAAGTGCTGCAGGTTTTGAGGGCTGCTTTGTTGGTGGTTTCTTTGTTGGTGGTTGTTTTGTTGGTTGGTTTTTAAGAAGATAGAGTCAGTTAGGCTGCAACTACCTGTTTTCAAGCAGCCAAGGCATCAAAATAAGGAGTTTCTCACCTTAATATGTAGTGTCACTTCTGTTGTCTCATAATGTGGTCCTAGCAGTATAATTCAGGCATATTTTATAGTTAAAGTGTGTTGTCACAGTCTCCGCAGTTCTGCTTGCTCATTAGGAGACTCTTCAGGTAGAGAATTGAGGCTTCAATGAAACTAAACCCACTGCAGCAGTATTACAGAGTTCATTTATGTGGGAAATAAACAGCTAATAGTCCCAACAATCCAAGCAAACACTATGTTCAAGAATAGGGAAGCAATGAAAGGTTTTGCTTTTGCAGTAACTACTTTATGCTGAAGCAATGAGCTGTCCCCTTCAAAGTGAGTTCAGGTGAAAACCAAATGACTGATTTTGGATCCTGAGAGTTTACGAGGGCTGGGGAGCCTGGAGGAAGCGTTTTTAGAGTTAAAGGTTCATCACAATCACTAAAGCAAGCTATGGTTAAAAAGCTTTTAATTGAAACCAAGGAGACTTCTCTCCTTTAGAGAGATTTTAAGAAAAATATTTTTCCATTTAGCATCTGTTATCATATGCCAGAGGCCTTTCACAAGCTCGAAGTGCACACATCTTAAAAGAATTCCAATATACTTCATGATTTTCTGAAGTGCAAAAGAAGAATGGGGAAATCAAATGCTATGAGTTTTCCAGTGAGGTCTGAGGAATAATAGCTCTAAAGCTTTTGAAAGTCCATTCTCAAAAAGTAAGTCAGGAAGGCAGAAGCTCAGCACACCTGAACTTACAGTATTCATTGTGAGAACCAAGACCAGTCAGCTGCTGCAGGGTTTTAATCTTGTAGTTGGCAGAACCTGACTCTTAAGGTTGTGCTCTCTCCTCTGAACATTCTACCATGAGAAAAATAACATTCAAATACTTGAAAAGCTGTAAGCCTGCAATGCTGCATACAAATCCTGATGTTCTCTTCCAAACAGGTTGAATGTTGAGGAGATGGTGGTCAACACGGCATGTGGCTGCTGTAGGCCACTTCAGCTTCTTAAGAAGGAACTTCAACTGCCATGCCAAGACCCAGATAACCCTGGAAAAAGGCTCATGAGAGAAGTAATTATATTTAGTGGCTGTGTTTGTGACTTGGACAGTTGCATACACTAGCCAGAGCTCCAGATGGCTTCAGACACCTTTTTTGGTTGGGTTTTTGTTTGTTTGTTTTTTTTTTTTTAAACACTGATCATGATTTACTACTTCTACAGTGACTGCTCACTGCTGGAGTTCCCTTGTATTGATTATACAGGACAGCCTTGCAGTGAGGCACCCTGAACAAGCCCCTGGAGCATCAATGAACTTAACTGATAAACTATTCCTTATCAGGAAGGGATTCAGGGGGTGTGAAGGGGAGGGAAAAAAGCATGGGCAGGGTGGGTATTGGGAGAGAATACCATGGCAGGGACAGTTTGGCCTTGCTGAGGGCAATATTTAACCAGAGGCTAAAAACTGGCCTACGCATAGTGCAGTAACAAAAATTCGACTTTCAAATAAAGTAGAAGGAATTGAATTTGCAAACCTACCTCATTATTTGACCAATTATTTTAACAGAAAATAGTCTAGTAGGTTCACTACAGTTGAATGAGGGCCTGTGTAATGGCCCATTGCATCACTGGGAGACCACTGAGGTAGTATGTTCCTTGTCCTTTGAGTGGACACAGCACTTGTGCTTGTAATCCCTACCCAGCTGCTGTAAGAAAGCAAGGTGCTACTTGAACGGAAATGTAACTTTGAGGTTTCTAATGTAGTGTGGTGGGACATTTTTAGAAACATCATTAACAGACATAGTGGATTTTGGACAAAGCAGAGATCTGCAGGGCATTTTCCTCCAAGGAATCAAAGACCATGTGCCTTAACAGGACACAGGTAGTTCACTCAGAAGTGATTTCTACTTGCTGCTAGTACTCTTTACTACTTTGTTTGCAATTCAGTTAAGATGAAGTTATATGAATGCACAAAAGCTTGTAGTACCCAGGTAGCTTTTCTTCTTTTAGCAAGTTTTGGAGAACTACTAGGAATCTGCTGCATACACTTAAAGCTTGAGTGAGGTTATTTAGCACCTCAGATTACCTTTTACAGCGTCAACATTTTTTACAAGTCCTGCCTTTAATACTGGTGTGCACTTCTTCACCTCAACCATACCCCACTGCTGCACCAGTTTATTACAGCTTCTATTCTTAATATACTTACTGTTGTTAAACACTGTAAATCATTTCACATCAAGGTTACTTTGTTGTTTGGTTTCGCTGTGGGTTCTTCCCACCCTACACACACAAAAAGCCATAAACAACCTCCCTGGGGGAGCAGAGATCTGTAGGCTGGGAAAGACTCAACTGAACACAACGCACCAGTGGTTCGCAGAAAGTAATTTACCATTACGTATCATTTGTTGTTCCCCAACAACCATTCAATGCAAGTATTCTTTACACTTCCATGCCCCCAGACAGAAAAAAAAAAAAAAAAAAAAAAAAGGCCAGTTTGATTACTGTTCTAATCATTTATTTAATCTTAATACGTTCTTCTGATGAATATAGTCTAATATATAGTCTTCTATATGAAAATTCTCCACTTAATTTGACAGAACTTTGTTTTATACAAATAAGACAATCACCATTAATGTTACATACTGGAGTGTAGGTCAAGAATGAACATATGCTACCTGTTTTGCTATTCAGTTATTTTCATATGTCAATGCCTGAAAATACTGTACTTAAAAACAATAACACTGTTTACTGCAGAAATTACTTTGTCTGCTTGACAGGATACATCACTTTGGTAAGTTAACCATCATTCACAAAGAAAAAAAATCAAGTATTTGTCTTTATTTGTTCACTTTTCTGCTCACGGCTTCATTGAGCTGACATTTAATACAATGTGTGAACAACTGTAAGCTTAACACAGTCACCACTGAAAAATACACTTTCCCTTACCCCCCCCTCCTTCCCACATTTTAAATGCACATTTTAGCACAGCTCGAACCAAAGCACAGTGAACTGAAGTAGCGCAGTGTCTCAAGGTATCCTTTAATGAGGGCATACACTGTTTTCAGGGGGACAGATACACAACAGGATGTGAGAAAAATGAAATAGAAGCTGCTCCCCTGTCTTTGCTAAGACTCCCTTTAGTTCAGCACATCAGATGTTTAATGCAGCAGTCAACAGCATGGTTAAGGTAACAGGACTAATGAAGAGACGTATGGTAGGAACAAGACACAACATAAGATAGTCCACTCATATTTTGCAAACTGCCCGACCTTACTGCAGGAACTGCTCATGAAGATTTTCAAGGAATATTTGCGATCCAAGAGTCCTGATTAGCCACTGAAAGGCCACAAAAGTGCCTCAAGAGAACTTCTGCAGAGAGACCAGGTCTCTAGCCAGATTTCTAGTCACAACAGCCACAGCTACCAGTAACTTCTGAAAAAAAAAACACCCCAAAATATCTCCCAAAATCCACACCCCACATCCAAACCTTTGCTCCTCTTTTTTCACTTGCACTCAAGTACCACCACTAGCCTTCAACCAAACCAAATTGTAATCACCCACTTCCATCATTCAGCTGCAACCACTGAAGTAAAAAGCAAGGCACACCCAAACAGAATCCTGTCCCCTGCTGTGCACTGAGCAGCATGACAAGAGCCTCATTGCTACCACTCTTAATTTCATGGACATACTTGGCTACATGTGCTGAGACATCAGTCCCAAACTTCTCTGAAATAACCGTGAGAACATCTTGATCTGAGGTTCAAGTCTCCTGTAGTCAGCAGCAGCTGAATTCATTCACTGCGACTTGAAGCACTCACTGGCAAGTAACCCCCAGTTTCTAACTGTGCTACCTTGCCTGCTCAGTTTGAGCAGCCTTTGGGGCACTTTAATGCTTGAACAGTGTGAGTCAAAGTTATGCCCAATTAGTTCTGCAGAGGCTGCAGAGTTTGCTGATGTGGAACACATTACGAAGGCTTTGATTGTAAAAAACACTATACAAGCTGACCATTTTGGGCCTTCAGCATGCTCAGTCTTCTACACCATGCTGGGTATTTTTACCACCACTGACAGACAGGAAACTGTTCAAATACCAGTTATTCAACCTCTTGAGTTTTAGCATTACTGTATATTGGAGAAAAACACTGTTTAAAATTACATTTTCATCTAAAACAGTGCATGCCTCACAGCCTTTCAGGGGCCCACTTCTTCCCACTTCTCCTTTTATACAGTATCAGATCCTGTAGAGTTAGTTATATTGTATCGTTAGGACTACTACTTACTAAGTCTGATGGGAAACAAAAAACACAGAAGAGAATATTTAACCTTACTTTGACTAACCATGAATACGTGTGTACCCGTTCACCATCTACCAGAGCAGTTCACCTCACTGAGATAAGCAGAAGGATTAAGAATAGCTTTTGTGTTCAATCCACTTTCCAGAGATCACAAAACACTTAGATGTGAAGGATTACAAGATTAAGACTCTGGTCCTGTGGCATTTTTCAAACACGAAGATTGGTGACACTCAACATAAATGTTCACTTGAATCAGATTCAAACGCACATGCCCTTCCAACCAGTACAAGACTTGTGGCAATGTTCCACTTTATAAAGTTTGACTCTACATTAACATCCAAATTAACATTACTGAGCAGCATTACATTCGTTTCTTTCAGTTCAGAGCTGAGTGCTTTAGCCGGTGCTCCTCAAGGCAGAACGTTACTAGCCCTTTCCAGTTGAAATCCTTGGTTACTACACCTAAATAAATTTCCCTTTACTGAGTTTAAAAATTGGACCTCTGCAAAGAAAAAAGGAGCATAAGAGAGCCCACACACCCTTTGTGTAACGCACTAAAAGCCATTTTTAATGTGGAAAGTCACTTCCCTGTACTGTACATTTTATAGTCTTAATTTCAAACAAGGGGCAAGTCCTAATAAGGCAGGGAGCTGATAATGGTTAACAGTGCAGTACTCAAGACAGTGATGTACAAGACATTTATTTGCAGTATGATGACAGTGATATAAATGGAAGAAAACCAAACTGACATGGTTAATATTAAAACTGTTCTGACAGCAATTCACATAATCTCTGAGATACAGCTTCTTTACTTGTTCGTAGTGTGAGCCTATACATCTGAAAAAAAAACCACAATATTATTTAGTTTTTAAACACAGTTTGGCATTAAATGAGTGCACAGTCAACTAGCAAAAGCTACCAGTTACATCTTCTGTGGTTTTTTTAGATTTGGTAGGAAAAAGACCTCAAGTTAAAACACTCAAAAGCAGCCAGCCACTGAGTAGTACTGCTTTCTCAAATCATAGGATGGAATATGTCTCCAAACCCTTGTTGAGAGGGTTTGCACCACTGTTCCAGCATTTTTAGGCTTTAAGAGCAAGGTGTTATCCAAAATTGTTCTTTAAGAGGAATAAATGTCGTAGGGAACGCCTGAATGAATAATCTACCACCACATCTCAAGAAACAGGAGACTCATCACTCAAGACTTACAATCCAAAACTTTTCAACCCTCAGTTAACTTCAATAAAACCTTTACAAAAATGCTTGATGAAAAGTATTCTTAACATTGCATTCATTTGTTATGTTTAATCTTTTAACAATCATTCTTCTATTAATTTAAAATGGCAAAGGGAATTACACTTAATTGTCCAAGGTGCACAATACAGAAACAGAAAATGTTTCCAGCCTTCAAGAGAAGACTCCACAAACAGTCTGGAATAACACAGTCATCTCTTCCAATACCGAAGAGAACCGCTATGAATAAGCAGCTTAACAAACCGGGCCAGGACCAGTTGCTATAATTTCATTTCTTGTTGGAGTCTGCAGTCCCCATTAGCTATTGCAATGATTTAAGTAAACACTAGAGTTCTAGATAATGCAGATATTTAGTTCAAACAAGATCTTGTATTTAACTGTAGACACTTAAACAGATACCTGTGCCTGGAGGTTGGGTTCAAGGCGCAGCAAGCATCCAATCTGAGTAGTTTTTGTGTGTATGATACCAGCACCCACAAAGTTTGCAGGATTTGGATCTACCTCCTCAAGGAGGGCTGATCCAAAGCCAATAATCTATGAAAGAAACACAGCAGATTTAGAGGATGGAACAGTGGGACACCAATTTCAAATCTACCCAAGCACAGCCACCACCAACTAG